CTGAAGTAATGCGTCTTCTAAAAGAGATTTATTTGAAGGGGGAGGGACTTGTAGGGCCGGATCTCCTCAAAAACATTTTTTCGAAAAGCACCTATAGTTTTGTTCAATCAACTTCGTGACGCTGATAAAGCTACTCGAATGGCCATAGCTGGTATTCTTCTTCGTCAATCAAAAAGGATTTTTTGGACACTATTCTGACGGCGGATGGAAAATGCAATTACTACGATAACCCATCGCAAAAGTGGCAATGTTATAGTCCAGGAGAACAGCCAAAAACGACGCCACAACGTGGTCCGCATGGAAGAAAGGCCATGTTGTCTGTTTGGTGAAGTTCCCGTGGTCTTATACACTTTGAGGTTCTACCTTCTCGTCCAACATTCACCTCAGACCTATATGTGCAACCGCTGGAACGATTAGACCAGACTCTCAAGAATCAAGGTGTAAACACATCGACTGAGAGATATCTGTAAGAGCCCACACACAGTAAAGAAGATAAAGGAAAAACTCGAGGATATTGGGTTGGGAATGTCTCCCGCATAGTCCAGATCTGGCACCCTCAGACTACCACACTTATTTCGATCAATGCAGCATTTCCTGGCCGATAAACACTTCAAGGACCATGACAAAGTCCGAATTTGGGTAAGCCAATGCTTCGACTTGCAGCCTCAGGATCTCTTCAGCAAAGGGATCTGAGATTTGAAAGAAAAATGGAGAAATTTTCAATTTTTAATTTTTGGATATTATTATCAACAACGGAGAATATCTTTTAGATTAAAGCGCATTGTTTTCTTTTTGTAGAGAAAAATTTTGTTTTTCATTAAAAAAAGTATTTTCATTCCGGACAACCTAAAAATTTTATTTTTTTCTGGGTCTGTTTAAAACTTTAAAAATCTGATAACCCGGGTCATGATTGTTTTTTTCTCGAAAACTTTCAGAAACATTACATGTTTTCAATTCTGATTTGACTGGAAACTATCGCCCTCAAACTGCTCGTTTACATCCGATCAGCCCGATCGGAGGAGCCAGAGGAGGAGATCGAACGTCTATCAGATCAATTAATGGAAATCTTGTATTTTGATGACAAAGATAGTCATACAGATTAATTTTTTTGATTTTTCGATCAGTCCGATTGGATGTCATTCAATGATTATTCAATGAGCCTTACCAAGAGCGGGGTTGGTGAATGTAAACTAACGGTTTGACGATAGTAGTTTTCTTAAATCAATGCCTTTGAGAAAACGCATTACTCGACCGGAAGACACTCTACCCACCAAAGCAGATGCGGAACACCAAAACCCTTGAAATCGCCGGAGTGTATCCACGCTGATCTCAAGGAGTCCCGGTTGAGTTGGGTCGGACCCGAAGCTGGCGGCACGTTGATCCATTAGAACATTTTTGATCGTTCCAAGAGCATTGGCGAGCGCTGGAATTAATTTCGTTGATAGATGTTCCGAATTTCGGGTATGAAAGTACCAGGATGCTTTATTATTTGCGTTGAACCTGAATACTGGAAAGTGTTCTATCGATCTAGTTTTATTGCAGACTTGAGCCACAGAAAAGTTCTTGGGCCTGACTTTTGGCTTAGCCTGGCTTACCGGTCCTAAATTGCTGGACTAGGCTAGAAAATGGTTATTGGCTAGCTTTGCACCAGGATAGATGCGAAGTCGGTCCTTATAGTTATTTAATCCCATAAACTACCTGTCATGATCAACCAAACGACGAGCACCTCGAGAACTTCCCGAATTCTCGACACGTTCATCAATACCTAAAATTAAGTTCAATGTAAAAGAATTCCTGACATCTTGAAATAAACTTGGAAGTTCAAAAATGTGTGATGAAAGACTTGGATTTGATTTAGATTTCAAAAGGAAACTTTGGAAAAGAAAACTTTTGATTTTGCTGAATGACTAAAAGCAGCGAATATTACCTCTTAAATATTAGGTTGGCAAAAAAGAAATGAGCGTCGTGTTTGTTGATTTGTATTTTATTCACAGTAAAAGATTTTTTAAAATAGTTTATTCTATTGGAAAGAGCGTGTTCTTGGGCATCGTTTGATATATAATTTGCCTATGTTTACTTTGTTTTTTTGCAAGAAAGAGTGTTTAGAAAATGTCGGACCAAAAATTTCGTTTGCGGGCCTACTTGTGGCATGAATTTAAGCAAGGCAAATCGGCTGCTGAAGCTCATGGCGCTCTCAATTGTTTGACGAAGATGCTCTATCCGAAAGTCAGTGTAAACGATGGTTCCAGCGCTTCCGAGACGGCGACGAAAGCTTGGAAGACCAAAAACACGGAAGTCGACCTCAAATCATCGACAACGACGCATTGAAGGAAGCCATTGAGTCGGATCCACGCCAAACCACTCGCGACCTGGCAGAACAGTTCGACTGCACTCATGTCACCATTGAGAACCATCTGCATGGCATGGGCAAGACGAATAGATGCGGAAAATGGGTACCGCATAAGCTATCCGACGCAAACAAGGCGACACGCATCGCAATCGCCGGAATTCTCACTCACCGCGCCAAGAACAGTGGGTTTTTCGACTCCATTGTTATGTCGGATGAGAAGTGGATCCAATACGGCAACACAGCAAGAAAGCGGCAGTGGTTGGACCCCGGTGAAGCTCCAAAACCGGACATCCACGGAAAAAAGGTGATGCTTTGTGTTTGGTGGAACAGTAAAGGCCTGGTATACTTTGAGGTTCTGGATTCGGGTCAAACAGTTACGGCGAACCTCTACCAAGGCCAATTGGACCGCGTGGACCAGGCGCTGCGACGTCAAGGCGTGGATACGGCGTCGACAAAATTCCTCCACGACAACGCTCGGCCGTATGTCGCAAAAATCACCCAGCAGAAAATTGAAGAAATGGGCTCTGTCAAAAAATTATAGACGCACCCTGTTTTTTGCTAGTTTAGAGCCGGATATAAGTGCTAGTCCAGTGAAAAGTATTTTTTTAGTTTCTTTAATGTAAAAAAACAACCCATGCAAAATTTCAAGTCATTTCACTCATCCAAAGTACTTTATCGTACAAAAAACGTTTTATCAGCTGTCTTCAGCAGCTTCCGGTCACTCGTAGCCTGGAATCGGCTTCAGCCAACAGCGCTCCATGACCTTGTCTCTTCGATGCCGAGACGTCTTTTTGAAGTTGGACTAAAGCAAGGAGGGGCCACACATTATTAATTTATTTGGTTTGCGTTGTTATTTTTATTTCTGTTAACTTTTTCTTGATAAAATAATTGATTTTCAGTTTGGCGAGTGACCGGAAGCTTCATCTCCTTGCGAACCTCTTCGAGTGATGTCGTCGTGTTGGAAAGACGTCTCGTAATTGCGCGTTCGTCTTGACAGGTCAACTTTTTCTTCCGGCCCCGTGTCTCTTTCTTTGTAGGAGTCACTTTGGTCTTGAGATACGTGCGAATACACTTCTCAGAACGTCCGATGCGATGAGCAATGTCCTTGTTTAGTGGCATATCTGAAAGTGGCATATCTGAAAATGTAAAAACATTTATAAACATAACTAATAAGCAAAAAAAATGAGAAAAACTAACAATTATTGATAGAATGAATCGTCAAATAAAAGCGCGCCTATAATTTTTTGACAGCTGATAAAACGTTTTTTGTACGATAAAGTACTTTGGATGAGTGAAATGACTTGAAATTTTGCATGGGTTGTTTTTTTACATTAAAGAAACTAAAAAAATACTTTTCACTGGACTAGCACTTATATCCGGCTCTAAACTAGCAAAAAACAGGGTGCGTCTATAATTTTTTGACAGAGTGTAGCGCTTGAATCTTTTCGTTCAAGAATTGTTAGACTATGGAATTCTCTACCGAACTAATTTATGCTTATCCTGTGCTAATTTTGAGGTTGCCTTAGACTGATTTGTCGGATATGTTTATTTAATCAATGCTCTATTTATCATGCTTTTATGTTCTTTGCAGTCCTGTGAGTTTCAGTTTTAGTTTTTTACACCTTTATTCATATTTGAATAAAGTCTGATTATTATTATATAAAAATTTTTTAGTAGGTCCATCATTACCTAAAATCGAGTTTAAATGTGAACAAAATCGGAACTGAATCTTGAAAGAAACTTGCAGGTTTATGATTCAAAAGTAAAAAGATCTTTGAACTTGGAAGATCTGGAAAGCCTTGGCTTTGCTGAATGAGTCAATCCATCAAAGGTTTCCTCCTAAATGGTAAATGAACAACATCAAAGGTTCTTGTTTCCATTAAAAAATGTGTTTTGCTTGTAAATATTGTATCCTCAAAAGAAATGGGCACACGTGATAAAGTAAGAAAGAACACTGATTGTAGTCATTCTAATAGGTTGCGTACAAATTCTTGATAATACTTTTTTGTCTTTTGTTTCATCAAAGAGCAAACCATGGCATTTTTACAAATTTTTTGATATGATAATCAGATTTGCTTTGCCTCGATTTTGGCAAAGTTTCATCCCGATCTAATGGCTGGGCTTAAGCAGAAGGCTTTTGTTTGAAACCAGTCGATCCTGATCTAGGCCACATCGCACAACAAGAGTTTTTCTTTTTGCGATTTCTCAAAGTGTTTTTGAGAACTTGTGTTTTTTTGGAACTTTTGAAACCTAGTATTTGGGTATTTGATTGTCTATTAGGTAGCTTTTATCCTGTTTCGAAAAATGAAAGTTGAGCTGTGAACAAAAGAGTGAAAAAAGTGACTTGCAAAATACACTCCTTAGAAAATTCTCCAGAAAAGAATCCAATCCAAAATTACCACATGAACCTTTAGACATTTCAAAACCTGCTTTTTTGAGTTTTGAGCACTTTTTTGATAATTTGAAATGCTGTCAAAGTTTCTCGAAAAATCACTAGCTATATATGTTTTTATTCAAATTAACTTCTTCAAAGTATTTGGCTTTAGGTGTTTAAAAAGATGAGGAGCAAGCGGAAATCGATTGTCTAGACGATTCGATCATGATGGAAAGACATGGAGCCCATTCTGCTCAAAAGAATCAGGCATGAAAGATGCTTCACGCCAGTGAACAAAGGTACTTTTGCGTTTTCAATGTTTTCATTATGATTACTTCTAGACTTGCACCAATTGATGTTGGACAAAATGTTTTGATGCCAATTCCTTGTGTCGATCGACCCAAGATTGGACCACGAAATTTGATGGGAGTCGTCACAGGTACTTTTAAATTTATTTCTAAATGTAAAAAGAAATTCTAGCTGTAACTGATGATTTTTACTCGATCGGGACACAAAATGGGCATCTTCGGCAAACATTCACTAGGAATCAACTGGCTCCATGTGGAGCTGAATTCTTCTCGATCAATTCAATTCGGGACGGGGAGACATCGTTGAGAACTGCTGTTGGGGCAGCATCGATCTCTGGGAGCCAAGGTAAGCACATTTATTTGCACGTATAATCTTTCTTTTTTCTTTTTATAAATTCAAATGTTTTTACCTCAGCTAAAATATTATTAAACTAATTTTATTAATGTTGTTAATGGTTGTATTGCGGATAAAAATGAGTTTATGTCAATCAATCTTTTTAAAAAAACTAGTTTTTGATAAAGGCTAACCAAGGCGCAACAATTGTGTAAGTGACTTACAAGATGTCCGTCGATTAGAGGAATATCCCTCCAGTAATATGTTTAATAAATTTGCTTAATTAGCATTAAAAGTTAGTTAATTGGCATTTATCGGATTGTGGTCGGATTAGGACTTCCGAAACCGACCACAAGATAATCAACGGCCGGATTCGAACGTCCGGATCGGATCCTGACGTCCGAATCCGACCACACTCATTCTGGTCGGATTCGAACGTCCGGATCAGATCCGGACGCCTGGTCGGATTCGGACGTAACATATATAAATATATAAATATATTTAGAAATGCAAAAAATATCTATTTTGCTGCATGGTTTAGCATTGAATCTTTCCGATGTAACCATCACCCTGACTACTCACAAATGTATGCAAATCCGACACTAAAAACATAAAAATTGGGTTATTTGGTGACACTTTTACCCAAAAATTGCGAATGCTTTTAAGATTTGTCAACTGAAAAGAAACATTACTTGAAAAATGACTCCGGCGCTATTTTCTTGTAACTCGTTTCGATTGAAAATGGCTTTTTTATTAATGTTTGCGATGTATGTTTCGTTTTCAATGCGGACAAATTTGGGGATGACCATTACTTGTATGGTAAGAGATCTTTTGATCATTGTTTTAGATGTTCTAGATGTTTTATTTCATTGTTTCAGATGTTTTAGATCTTTTAGATCATTGTTTCAGATGTTTTAGATGTTCTAGATCATTGTTTTAGATGCTTTAGATCATTGTTTTAGATGTTTTAGATGTTTTAGATCATTGTTTTAGATCATTGTTTCGGATGTTTTAGATGTTCTAGATGTTCTAGAACATTGTTTTAGATGCTTTATATGTTTTAGATCTACAATCATTGTTCTCAAAGCTAAAGATTAATATATGTAGCTAATGATCATGAAAAGATCTATTAAATCCTTTAATAGGTAACATTTTAGTTCTAAAATGGTTCAAGATCAGTAATATTTGCGTCAAAGTTATTGTCTTTCAATTCTTGGCCATAAAGTACTCCAAGAGCTTTTTGGTTTGGAAATCTAGGTTTAAGGAAGCTAAATCATAGCTTTACTGTAAATAGCTTTATTTAAATTGTAGCTTTATTAATCTCATTATCTTTCAAAACCAATCCTTTAGATTAACACAACAGCACTCACGACAACTCAACAAGAAAATTACACTTTAAAAGCAGGCTCTTGTCATGCCGCTGAAAAGATCGAGAACCGGAAAACTTATGGAGTATTTAACTTAAGTTTACTTGATTCAAATATTTAGGGAAATCTTTTATGGGAGCCCTCAATGCAGACATTTCTCTTCTCGGCTACTTTTTACAGTGGCCTCATCGCCGCTCCCCTCTCTGGCTATGTGGCTGATCGATTTGGGGCAAAAACTTTACTATTGGGTAATCAAATATCAACTGTTTAAAGATCAAACGATTACAGTTGCTTTGACCGATTTCATCCTGATGACTTCTGTAGGCCCATTGTTAGCAAAAAGCTCCTATTGGGCTTTCTTCATCTCGAGAATTGTAATGGGATTTGGTGAGGTAAGAGTTAAGAAAGTAAACGTAAAATTGTGATTGGGATTTCATTTTTAAACCAGTTAACTCATTGTCAAATGTGAAAAAGCAAAATTGATGTCCCAGGGAGCCGTATTTCCTTGTGTAAACTCAATTGCTTCAAAATGGTTCCCACCAAATGAACGATCAACTTTAGCTGCTATTTACACATCAGGGATTCAAGTTGGTTTTTCAGTTAAAGTACTGGGTTGGTGAATTGAAAACTGCCGGACTTTGAACTAAAATTTATTCAGCATAAAACCATGAATTCATTCGAGATAATTTCCATTATTATTGACGACTTCTGCCCATTTTATAGGCAATTTGCGGATTCCTCTTTCGTAGTAGGATTTTGGTTTGTGTGTGAGACAAGTGTGAGACTCAAAAATGGAGGACTGGAGATGTCAGCCGTCAGCCCAGTTTGAGCACTTTCTTCAAAAGAAACCCATTTTGGTATCAATAGAAAAGTTGTAGAGAAGCAAAAATTAGACTTATAGCTAAATTTGCAAAAAGATACACTTAGTAGTTTCGCTTAAAATGCAAGTTTTGTGAAAATTCGTAAATTTCGCATTTCTTGAAAACCAGTTTTTGAATCGTTCTGAAAATTTGGCTATAAGGCTAATTTTTGATTCTCTACAACTTTTCCATTGACACCAAAATGGGTTTCTTTTGAAGAAAGTGCTCAAACTGGGCTGACGGCTGACATCTTCAGTCTCGGGTGACATACGACAATAGGCGGCAGTTTTCAATTCACCAACCCAGCAAAAGTGAGAAATTCTAGCTTTCCACTGGGATTTCTTCTATTATTTGTGCTTTTCTTTGTACAACCATTTGGGGATGGCCTTCAACTTTTTATTCTTTTGGTAGGATCTCTTGTGAAACTAAAACAGTACAGTAAATCTATACAAACACGTATTCTTATCTTTACTACTCATAGATACTCACTACTTTCTATTTATAAATAGAAACGTACACTTTCTGGTGAACTGGACAAATTTCTCTTGATATCTTGACATTGTAGTAACAAGTGAGAACAAAAGTGTTTCTAGAACAGTACTAGAACAAACTTGTTTAGAAAATTGAGCACAAAATATGCTAAGAGTAGGTCAGATTACCGTAAAACTTCCATATTTAGCAATTCTTGGCACTCTTTGCTTAATCCTTTGCTACATCTTTGCTAACAATCATCCAAAAAACAATCGCTGGCTAGGTGATGAAGAGAGGACTTATCTTGAGAACTCTTTTGAAACAAATGGAAAACATGGGCAATTTGTGAGTTAAATAAAGGGTATCAAAGATTTGATACGCGCCTCGATCCCTTTGCCATTGGTAATCAAACTTTGAGCTCAAATTTCTTGGTGTTGAACTACCCAATTTAAATATTCTTGGTATCATTAGATGCGCCAAGTCACTCTCTGTTGATCGGTACAAAAACTATTTAAATTCGACAACTCAATACCAAGATATTTGAGCCCAAAGTTGGATTGCCAATGGCAAAGGGACGAGGCCATTGTAAAACCTTTTATACGCGCCCCACCCCTTTGCCATTAACAATCCAACTTTGAACTTTGAGTCTTGGTATCATTTGATGCTCCAAGTCTTTCTCTGTCGATTGGTACAAAAACTATTACAATTGGACAGCCCAATACCAAGAAATTTAACCTCAAAGTTGGATTGCCAATGGCAAAGGGGGCGGGGCCATTGTGGGACCTTTTATACGCACCCTGACCCTTTTACCTTTGGAATTTACGTTTGAGCTCTAATTTCTTGGTGTTGAACTACCCAATTTAAATATTCTTTGTATCATTGGATGTGCAAAGTCTTTCTCTGTCGATTGGTACAAAAACTATTACAATTGGACAGCACAACACCAAGATATTTGAGTTCAAAATTGGATTGCCAATGGCAAAGGGGCAGGGCAAAAAGGCAGGTCCCACAATCTTAAATAAATGACTAAAACATTCATTTCTAGAAAAACGCTAATGAAATGCCGTGGAAAGAAATTCTCTTCAGTCGAGAAGCCTCAGCCATATATTTAGCGTCTTTTTCGTCAAATTTCTCATCAATCATCGCTTCTTCGTTTATTCCATTGTTTCTAAAAGAACAGTTGGGGTTGTCGATCACGCAGGTAACTTGATCACTTTCAAGATGTAGATTCAGATTAAAATTCATTTACTTACTTCCATAGAATGGTTACTATACCCCACTTGCTTTCGTCTCTCAACTCATTTCAAAGAACATTCTCGGTCCAGTCTCTGATCACTTGAAAAGGAAAGGAATCATCTCAAAAACGAAAGCTGTTCGAATATTTCAAACTATTAGTAACACTTTTAAACAATTGGATATTGGATTGGATTTAGGTTGTTTTGGCTCAAGTTTAATGATGTTGTTGATCTGTCTCGTGCCCACTTGTGAGACACCACAATTGGCTATTCCCATACTGTTTACCTATGGTGAGTTTACAGGGTTTACAGGGTGATCCAAAATTATAGAAACTCGGCTTTTCCTGATGTAACTCGACATTCAGCCATTTCTTTCTCTTTAAATGTTTTTTCAAACATTAAACTAACACTATCTACAATAACAGAAACTTTGGTCTTGGCTGGTCACATATTTGGTCACATATCACTACAATACTTTCACAAAAAAGAAAGAAAACTAAAAATAGTACAGTAAGACTACAGTTAGGAAACACAAGTATAAAAAGATTAAATATAAGGCAGATTTGACATGGCAATAAGAACTAATTCGTTTACAGATACCGTATTTTCTCTAATAGTAGTGCACCGCAAGGAGCCAAGTTGATGCCTATTTTACGGTTTCCAAGCTTTTGCAGAAGCTCAACACTCTAATCCCCCACTAGAGCTCATCGTCAGCTACATTTTCCGACCCACATCAATAGGTTCTGATAAGCGGTTCTCGAGATTTCGAGCAATTTAGGCGACGCTCAGGATGCACTACTATTAGAGAAAATACGGTATTAAGAATTTTCTTACAGACGTGAAGATACCAGACGGGAGCTTCTTCCAAACCCTACTAATACGGTTCGCAAAAGAATGATAAAGAGAAAGATGATGGGGATGAGAGCTGACCGAAATTTGATAAGGGTCACTACATGTACTTCTAGGACTTTCCACAATTTTCAAAACTCTACTAATACGGTTCGTAAAAGAATGATATTAGACAGAAAATGTCGAGTTGCTATAGTTTTGGACCACCCTATACATTCAAGTATTATATTAATGAAAATTGATAATATTAATAACAATTCAACTTTTTTTCTTAAAACAATAGTTGAACAACAACAACAGCAACAAACAAGTAGTTGTTGAGGTTTTTGCTTTGCCTGCCTCGTTCCCGGCTATTTCACAGCGATGATCTCAATTGCTCCACCATGCACGGGCACTATTTCAGCGATCGGAAACATTTTTGGCAATACTGGTTATATTCTTGGCCCATTGATACTGGCTTTCGTCAGCTATATGGTAATAGAACAATTCCTCAAACTTGCTAAATGATTCCAGGAATTTGAAAACAAATGGCTGATCGTTTTCGCAATTCCCGCTTTGACTCAATTCATCTCTGGGATTTACTTTATGAATTTTGGTTCAGGTAACTGACTGGAGTTTTCTTGAAAACAAGTTCTTGTTTAGCCGATGTTCTTCAGTGTATCCAGGTTCCAGAAAAGATTCGAACAGAAAATTATAAACAATAGATTGATAAAAGTTTTTAGGTCCTTTACTGCATAGCATTCAATAGTTTCAAAATCAAAACACACGTCTGTTCAGTGTGTGAGAGGATACCGATGGGGCAATGATTATTAGATATATTTTCCGAATATAATACAATTACTAATCTAGCGAGAAAACAATAAAATAGAATCAATCGTTGGTTCAGTGTTTCAAAGCCAAAGAAAAGAAATACAAAGTGGCCTCCGTCCCTTTTACCACACAAAACGATCTTTAGAGGAAGGACAAGAGAATCATAGATATTCAAAATCAAAACATTAAATAAGATTTCACAGAAAAGAGCCACATTTCTGAACACACGTCTAATAAAGCTTTATTGTCATAAAGTTAAAGTTTAATAAAGTTTTATGATTCTAAAACGTCTAATAAAAGTTTTATTGTTCTATTCAGTTTCAGCCAGCCATTAAACTCGTTAGACAATAACTTGAGGCAAGACTACGGTTGAATTGATATGTTTTAAAAGAAACGTATTAGACATGGACACTATAAACTGTCGAACTGTCACACTACAAACGCTTTTAACCTGCTTCAAATCTGCCGGATTGATATGATCTATAGCTCAAAAAATAGAGAATCTCAAGAACTTTCGAATGGACTGAAGCACACCCAAAAACATCAATGCTAAAGAAAGTTACAGTGGTTTGTAGTCTGACTCGATCGCTTCGACTACGCTCGAGTACGGTCCGTTTCGAGTCCAGACTACAAACCACTGTAACTTTCTTTAGCATTGATATTTTGCCTGTCCTTTATTCGATTCGAAAGCTCTTAAGATCCTCTATTTGTTGAGCTATGGATCATGTCAATCCAGCAGATTTGAAGCAGGTTAGAAACGTTTGTAGTTTGTGTTTGTAGTTTGCGTTTGTGGTTTGCATTTGTAATTTATAGTGTCCATGTCAAAAAGGTGTTGAGAGAACAAATTGGAGACCATGAAGATTGCATCGCTGTGCAAAAACGAAAATTGCGCCGAATGGAATTGCCATTTACCAAGGCCTTCGCTTTGTGCGCATTTGGTATCAAAATGTAGCCCTTCAATTAGGCTACACAATGGTATAAAAAACTCGTAGAAAAACTGTTGTTTAGTACAAGAAAAATGACCGCAAAGTGAGAGCACCGACTGTACACCGCAATACTAACAACGACGTGCCGTCTTTTGTATGGGTATGTAGTCAAAGAGTTTTTTATACCATCGTGTAGCCCAATTGAAAGGCTACATTTTGATACCAGATGCTCACAAAGAGTAGGCCTTGGTAAATAGCAATTTAGCAGTAAATAGCAATCTTCATAGTCCTAACAAATTCGATGGTGATTCAAAAACTAACTTTTAAACTCTTTGTCGTGACGATCTCGTGATCGAGATCACATGGAAATGGCCAGCTAGACACCTACAGTACTGGACAATGAAATATCATATTTGAAAAACGATCGTCACTTTTGCGCGTCTGTAACTCCCTTGTCTTTGAGTTTAAACTATTAGTGTTCTACATTTTCTGAAAGCTCAGTTTTGCTGCAAGTCTTTAGCAACATCACCAATATTGAAAACTGATGGACCTGGAAATATTGGTGATGTTTAAAAGTTCTTCTTGTTCGACCTTTGACTGTGATTGGAAGTGCTTGGCAGTCGTTCAACTGATTCATTCCTTTAATTTCACTGAAAGTTAAATACAGCTTAAGATTTCAAACTTATGCAATACCTACACTACTGGACAATGAAATATCATATTTGAAAAAATATCGTCACTTTCGCGCGTCTGTAACTCCCTTGTCTTTGAGTTTAAACTATTAGTGTTATACATTTTCTGAAAGCTCCTTTCAAGGGCTACACAATGGTAATATTAATATTTAGAAATACGGTAAAGACAAGGAAGTTACAGACAAGCGAAAGTGACGATCCTTTTTCAAATATGATATTTCATTGTCCAGTAGTGTATGTGGACGAACGCCTATTGTGCGAGATTTAATATGCGTCGCTACCCGTTCAACTCCAAGACGAGACCAACGCCAAAGTTCTGTATAAAAGCAATGTGAACGAGCTGCCGACATGTGCCGTGGAGTCGTCTCTACACTCCCAATCCCAAACCACTGAACTAACTATTATTGCTGTAATAAAGATTATATCTAAACCAACAATAATCAACAATAATCAACTAAACCAACAATAATCACTACACTCTTTATTAACTTTATTAGTTTACAAATTCATGATCAACTCATTGAATCAATAGCTTTCGGTGTCTTTTCCACTTCTTTAGCCCAAGGTAACACGTCGGCTGAATGAGCTTTACTTGATGAAAATTTTAGAAACATTTACCCGTTCCCCACATTGAAAAGATCACACCGCCGATCATTTGAACAAGAGCACTCGCGCATAAACATATCGTCCATTTGTTCTCGATTTCCTAAATTAATTTTATCTTTTGAGAACGATTCTGTTTTTTTCTTGACACTTTACTTACTAAATAGTTCATCAACGCTAGCAACAGTGGTCCGGCTAGATTTCCAATTGTGCCCAATATCGAGCCTAAAGTGCTTGAAACTGTTAACATACTGTACTAATTTATTATATTTTTGTATTACAATATTTAAACTTTTTGAACCTAGCGATGTGATCGTTCCAGTGTAAGGCCCAGCGATTGAGATCACTGACGTGAAGTAGCCAGGCACCAAACAGGAAAAGGTTAAGCCTAAACAAATTCTATGATGTGTTATTGAGATCAAAATCTGATAGATCTGATTACCGTATGCCATTAGACATGGAATTGCTAAATACGGCCGCTCACACGAAGGCACGATCGACAAGAGAATCACAGCGATCGCTGAACCGAATCCACCTAAAGCTCTAGGTAAGTGGAAAGCTCTCAAAGGTTGTAAGCTGTACATTCAACATATTTATAAAGATATTCAAGCAAGCTTTGAGATTTACTCAAAACTTTCAAAATGTTCAATTTACTCCTAGAATCTGGCTTGAAACTTCTTATTGTTTACTAGGGAAAGGCATGAACTCAAGGTGAGCTTTTGTCTGGACACCTTATAGAAATGGATATGTGAAATCCGAATCTGAAATCAAAACTTGCCAAATGACTTTCTAAGCGTGTAAAAGCGAAAATTTTGCGTTAAAAAGGATCCTTTAAAAGGCTTCCTCTCTAGAGGAGGAATCTTGATAGAATCGGCCTTGAGGAATCTGAATCTGAAATCAAAATCTGCCAAACGACTTTCCAGGTGTGTAAAACTTTAATCGAAACTTTGGCGTCAAAAAAGATGCTTTAAAAAGCTTCCTCCTACGAAAAGCCTAGTGGTTAACGGGTTGGGCTTCCACCCGCAAGATCACAGTTCGGTCGCTGACGCAGCTTTTTGTTTTTGTTTTCTTTTAAAGCCACTTCCAACATTTTGCAGTAGAAAGCCTGGATCTAAAAAGAACCGTATTGGAACCATATTGGAGCCGTATTGGAACCGTATTGGAATCGTATTGGATCTTAAAAGAACCGTATTGGATCTAAATAGAATCGTATTGGATCTAAATGTTCTAATAGAAACCCTTTTGAGTCATCCCAACTAAAATGATTTCATTAGAATGATCATTTCTTACTAAGAATTTCAATCCAATTCTCCGAATAACTCTTCTAGTAGCTTGAACTCTGAACTTGAAGGTGCTCAGATAAAAGCTCACCTTGAGCCTTTCCCTAGTTAGAACATACTAATTGTTTGGAAGATTTTCCCCAATCGTGTCCGATTGTACCCTTTCCTTTTCAAGTAATCAGAAAATGGTCCCATTGTATTTTTGGAGAGAAGTTGCGAGCAAAAGGGAACCATTGTATATAAACCATTCTGAAAATCACTCAATATTCTCAAGAACAAGGTTTACCATAGACATTTCTTGACCTAATGGCTCTAATGACTAAAAATGACTCTAATTAAATCTTTAATTAAACTATAAACAGTTTTAGACAAACCTGGCTCATCGGTAACAATAAAACCTCCTTCAGATATAGCGGGAGGAATGATTGAAGCAAATTTGAGATAAAATTACATGAGAGATTGCAGAAAGTACAAGCAAAAACCTCTTTCGAGGTGAGAATCTCTCTCCATGGCATTGAATCCGTTTTCTAGAGCTTTTTAGAGATTAAATTCATTCACCAAAATCTTTACCGATATCGTTTTCGTCGACTTTGTGTAAACCTCGAGAAATTTTCGCTCGTTCTCAGGAACGAAACGATTCTCCAATGGAGAGTTGGAGATGAAAATGAGGCAGCAAATGCACCAAATCGTGCCAGTGATTGCTAAATGTGTGTTTGAATTGGTGCTCTGCATTGAATTCGTGTTCTGCATTGAATTGGTGTTCTAAATTTTAATTCACTAATAAATTTGCTCAATTTACCAAAGAAGTAGAAAATAGATGGCCATCCAAAGATGCTCAAGCAAAGAAACGAGCTGATTAACGAAGAGAAACCAGAAGCAATCTAGAAAGAATACCTGATTGACTACCAATTGGTGAAGATCTAAATTATACAATTTATAGTACAGTCGACTCTTTCTATAACGGAAGGGACCAAAAAATGTTTCCATTATAGAGCTTCTGTTATATAGAGTGCCGTTTTATATAGCTTAGCGTTGGGCGAAACCAAAATTCCATTTAGTTATCTAGAGTTTTCCGCTATAAAGAGTTCCGTTATATAGAGTCGAGTTTAAATGTCGTAGCCGATTATGAATGAGTGGGTCCGGACGCGTCCAACCATCAAGTATTTTCATTTTGTAGCGAATTCAATTCTGCGTCGATTGGTACCAAATTTGTGAGTTTTGGTTAAGAATTGCGGGCGCTACAACGTTTTGTAATTGGCGGGACGCCCGTAGCCGATTATGCATTTCAGCCGATAAATGAGTGGGTTTGGACGCGTCCAACCATCAATTATTTGATATCATTCAACGCAGAATCATTAATAATTATGTTAAATTTTTTAAATTAGAAAGATTAGATAAAAAAGAAAAAAAATTATGTGGCTTCAAAGTTTTCTCTTGAAAAAACAGTTTTTTTGCTCTAATTTTTTTTTCTTTTTATCAAATCTTGCTAATTTAAAAAATTTAACATAATTATTAATGATTCTGCGTTGAATGATATCAAATAATTGATGGTTGGACGCTCCTAGACCCACTCATTCATCGGCTAAAATGCATAATCGGCTACGGGCGTCGCGACAATTACAAAACGTTGTAGCGCCGGCAATTCTTAACCAAAACTCACAAATTTGGTACCAATCAACGCAGAATTGAATTCGCTACAAAATGATTTAATATTGTCCTCATAAATTAAAGGGTTGCTCTACTAGAAAGATTTGGCAAAAAATTTCATTCATAATCGGCTACGACATATATTGGGTTGGTGAATTGAAAACTGCCGGCTATTGTCATAATAATAGTGTGGCGAATAGCCACTAAAAAGTTACCTAACTCTGACAGCCTAAAAATTGAAAAAGTATTGCGGAAATCCGTGCGCCTTCATTCTATTTCTAGAGCTTTCGTTATATAGAGTGCCGTTTTATATAGCTTAGCGTCGGCCGAAACCAAAATTTCATTACACGTCGAGTAAATTGAATATCTTTACATTTGAAGGGAATATGTCACCAAATCAGTTAAACGTTTGAATATTTTTAAAAGGAATTGTATATAAGGCGTCGTTCGTGATTTTTGCCCTAATTTTGGGGGTGGGACAAATGCGACCTTTTTTTGCGCACCTGGACATTTGCGCACCTTTTTTTTGCTGGAAAAGGCCTTAGGAAAGGTCGTAGAGCTTCGAAAATATTTCCATGTAAGGGAATCGTATGCGTAGATTCCGAATTTCAACAAATCAGACCTCGCTGACACGTCAAATTTGGGCTAAAAGGCAAAAACTACGGAAAAGCGTTAAGTTGCGTTTTCCAGCAAAAAAAAGGTGCGCAAATGTCCAGTTGCGCAAAAAAAGGTCGCATTTGTTCCAGCCCCCTAATTTTTGCCTAAGTGCGCGTTTTAAAAAAAGCCTTACTTTCGAGAAATACACTCTATCTGTAATTGCGTACAAATAAGTTAGGTATTTGTTTACATGAAATGAACTCGTTTTTGTGCTAAGCTGTGCTGGAGATCCGAATTCAGAACTCCGTTCGGGTGAAAGTATAACTATTCTATTTGATTTTAAAAGTGAATAGAATAGAAATCAAATAGAATAGATAATTTAGATAATTAAAATGACTAGATAAAGTAGATACAAATCTCAAATCCGGGATCCGAGCCCTTGATTCAGTAAGAAGTTGAATTGTTAGAGATTAAAGGAATGGAATGAAGAATAACCGAGCATTGGCTGAAGTTCTTGTGTTCTTGACCTCAATTCGAATCTTTAGCAGATCTTTTAACAAAATCGGCATTCTAATTGCATCAAATTTCATCAAATTTCATCATATTTACATCAAAAATGATTCGTTGCCAACCTGAATCCCGGACGTGTAAATCGCAGCCATCGTCGACTTCTCATTTGTGGGAAACCACCTAGCAGCCAAGCTGTTCAGACAAGGAAACATAAAACCCTAAAGTTGAAATAAGTTTACACATTTAAAATTTGCTAAAGTTTACAGGCAAGATACCTCAGCTAATCCCATAATTAGTCTTGAGATGAAAAAGGCGAAAAACGAATGATTGGCGATCAGTGGCGAAAGATAACTGATCACAACAAAAATCATCGAAGCAGCTAAAGAGTTTTCTATTTTAAAGCCTTTGTAAAGCCCTTTTTTACCCAATAACAGTATTTTTGCCCCAAAACGATCAGCCAAATAGCCAGAAAAGAAGATTGTTACAAAAGCTCCGTAAAAAGTTGATGAGAAAAGCATCGCTTGTTCGGGAGGTGACCATTCGAGAGTACCCTGAACAATAAAGATTCAAAATTGAAAAACAAGATGAAAACATCATATCCAATGGATATTCCTGGTTCGTTGCTGGCTCTTTGGCATTCCAATGGAATTTGATTCGTCTCGTTGCGAAAACTTTTCGTTTTTCCACTTGTTAAAGTGGAATTGACCTGAAACAAGTTTTATCGCTTTGGGTTCCTTAGCACAGTTCAAACTTTGAGTTTAACAACAGAAAAATGAAACCAAGGCAACAAAAACAGTTCACCACACCTAAAAAGCTACCGTAAATTCACCAATCCCTATCCTCCCCGTACAGTCGCGTAGTCGCAAAAGTTTTTTAGTATTTCATTTTTTTCAAAGCACCCCTACTTTCAAAAAATGTGTCTTTGGTATCAAAAAATAGCCCTGAATTTCAGCTACTTTTTGATACCTAAGCGCGCATTGTAGCATAAACCAGTGTCGAGAAAAACTCGTTCAAAGCTAGACTACGCAACACTCCGCACCGTCATTATGGGGGTGGGGTACTATTACAGTATTTACGGTAACAATTTCTTGGCTTTGGTCTTAATTTTTGGAAAGTTTAAAGAGTTCAGCTCACAGCACAAGAAAAAGCCAACTTTTGAACTTTTTATGACCAGCTTTGCCGATCAATGTCAGGAATAGCTCTAGGAATAGCTGATCAATGTCAGGAACAGCTTTCTAACATCATCACATTGATTTCTGAGAATGCCATCTCAAAGTAAAGTTCTGACACATCAAGATCAAGTTAATGTTTCAAGAAAGACAAGAGCTTTTGCAAAAAATAGTTCAAAAATTTGATCTTAAGACAAAACGAAGCTCCAACAATCCAACAATTAACAAACCATGCACGGAATCGCCATATTCAAATTCAGTCTCATTGACCACACCGCCCATAATCCGAAAGTCAGCAAAAAGCCGAAACGAAGACGAAAAGATTTCAGGGAAAATAGCGGTGATTCTTCCATTTTTCTTCCAGAATCAAGATTGACTTTCCACAAAATTTTGGATTTTATATTTTAGAAAATCTGAGCGCTCTTTGTGCCTACTCGGTCTCAAAAAAATTTCCCTAATCCTGCTGCTTTTTGATCGAACTTTTCGTGTCAGTTCTCAATTTTAAAGGCTTGATTGGAGAATGAAGAAGTTGAATTGTTAGAGATTAAAGGAATGGAATGAAGAATAATTGAGCATTGGCTGAAGTTCTTGTGTTCTTGACCTCAATTCGAATCTTTAGCAGATCTTTATCAAAATCGGCATTCTAATTGCATCAAATTTCATCATATTTACATCAAAAATGATTCGTTGCCAACCTGATTCAGTAAGAAGTTGAATTGTTAGAGATTAAAGGAATTGAATGAAGAATAATTGAGCATTGGCTGTTCTTGCTCTTGTTCTTGTGTTCTTGACCTTTCGAATCTTTAGCAGATCTTTATCAATTCGAATCTTTAGCAGATCTTTATCAAAATCGGCATTCTAATTGCGTCAAATTTCATCATATTTACATCAAAAATCATAATTATAAACAAGTTTTACAATTTTTGAATAATAATTTGACCGTAATCGGTAAAGAAGTTTAGTAAAAAGTGACTAGAACGAGAAATCAAAGAAGAATCAAAGAAGCTCTTATTTTTGCTGTAACCGGAATCTTTGAAAAACATTAATATCTGTAAGGTTTACAATAAGATTAAGCTAAACAAAATGAAGAAAAGAAAATGCAAAATTAAATGCAAATACTCTTTAGATAGCTAAAGCGCAAATTTTTTTGCATGATTTAACCATGAGACGTAATCGTAGAAATGGTCGATTGTGACAGCCAAAATGCAGCCGATTGTGACAGCCAAAATAACCAAAATGCTTCGCCAATTCATTCGGTCTTTTTAAAGCCGAGAGCTCAGCTTTTAAAGCTCAAAGTCGATTCGCCTTCTTTTTCTTTTTTCTTATTTCATTACCCTGTTTAAAGATATTCAATGGCCAAAGGGATATTGAGCATTTTGAGTCGAAAAACGTTATATCGAATGCAAATTTTGTATCGTTTTATCAAACATATCGTTATATCAAACATATCGTTATATCAAATGTATCTTTATATCAAACGTATCGTTATATCAAGAGTTGACTGTACTTTTATCTTTATTTGTACATGACTATAAAGCATTTTTCAAATCTTTCTAAAACTTTCCATTGTTTTCGTCAACTTTTTTCTCTTGTTCTTGTTGTACCGACTTTTCTTCAGCCCAAGGCAGGACTTCAGCTGAAATTCTTGATTTTTTAAACTTTATTAATGAATAAACTAGTAACTTAGTTAAAACATTAGTTAAAGTTTAATTTTTAATTTCCAAAACCCTCACACGATCCCCAGAACAGAAAAATAAGACCAGCGACGATTTGACAACAAGCAGCCGTTCCATAAACGATCAGCCACCGATTCTCGATTTCCTGAAAGTTTTCGCTTAGGAATAATTTAATAATTAGGAATATTTTGTCAATTACTGAATATCAAATGAAAAATCAAACGAGCTTTTCAAATAAAACCCACCAAATAACTCGTCAACGCTAATGAGAGTGGCGCTGCAAGATTGCCAAATCCGCCCAAGATTTGACCTGCAAATTGGAGTTGAACAATGTTTATAAAGATTTTATCTATAAAAACTGTATACTTATTTATTTTGTTTGAAAGTTGATTGTATCTCAATTGAAAATCTTGTATGTGCAAATAGTTTCACCCATTGAAGTGATTGTTCCTGTGTAGGCGGGCGCGATCGAGATCACCGACGTGTAATACCCTGGAGACAGGCAAGAAAAGGTTAAACCTAAAAAGTTAAACCTTTTGTATAGAAGAGTGTCGAAATTTTGTACAAATGTACAGTAATCCATAGGCCATACTGCTTATAATAACTACCGTAAATACTGTAATAGTACCCCACCCCCATAATGACGGTGCGGAGTGTTGTGTAGTCTAGCTTTGAACGAGTTTTCCTCGACACTGGTTTATGCTACAATGCGCGCTTAGGTATCAAAAAGTAGCTGAAATTCAGGGATATTTTTTGATACCAAAGACACATTTTTTGAAAGTACGGGTGCTTTGAAAAAAATGAAATACTAAAAAACTTTGGCGACTACCCGACTGTACGAGGGGGGTACTATTACAGTATTTACGGTAAGAACATACGAAAATAAGAATTTGATTTGAGAGCTAACTTCTAGTTGATAGATCGGACCTGCCAAGTCTATCAGAGCTAAAATATCAGAGCAGATCAGAGCTAAAAGCTAATTTCTATGCAATCAGGTCCCCTTTAATTCATTTTCCCTTTATTTTGTCTCCGAAGAAAGCGTTTTTTGAGTGTTCGATTGTATTTGCTATTTTCTATTATGATTGTATGCATTTTCTCCCCAAAAACACTCATAATTTCACCCAGACAAAGGCATAATGAGGGTGCGGAGTGTTGTGTAGTCTAGCTTTGAACGAGTTTTTCTCGACACTGATTTAAGCTACAATGCTCGCTTAGGCATCAAAAAATAGCTGAAATTCAGGGCTATTTTTTGATACCAAAGATGCATTTTTTGAAAGTACGGACGCTTTGAAAAAAATGAAATACTAAAAAACTTTTGCGACTACCCGACTGTACGAGGGGGGTACTATTACAGTATTTACGGTAATTAATTTCACAAAAATGAAAAAAAAAGGAGCCCGAACTGAACGAACGCGAAGCTTAAAATGGGTTTTTAGAGTACGCAAAGTTACGAAAAACAAACAACGGCATATCATCTATTAGGTTGGTGCAAAAGAAATTTCGGTCGATATAAAATGTTCTTATTTTTTTAATCTGAAGAGCTTATTTGATGTTCTTTTGTGCATTTGTACTCTTGGATATTTACTTTATTTTCGCATTTTTTCAAAGTCAGAGCTTTCACTTTTTAATTGATTTTTGCTTTAGATCATGGTGGATCAAAAGTATGTTCTGCGCACGTGTCTTCTCTATGACTTCAAAATGGGCAAAAACGCTGCTGATTCACATCGTGATCTCTGTTCCGCCTTTGGAGAACAGGTTATCACCGAAAGATCATGCCAGCTCTGGTTTGCCCAATTCCGAGATGGTAATGAGTCCCTTGAAGACGAATCGCATGGACATCGTGCCACAGCCATCGACAACAATGAATTGAAGCTGATCCAATGCAAACAACACGAGAACTTGCCAAACATCTCCAATTCAACAATTGTACGCCATTTGGAAATAATTGGAAAGACAAATCGTAATGGACAATGGGTTCCACATCAATTGAGTGTTGAGAATCTGGGAGCACGCGTTTCGATCAGCCATATCTTGCTCCATAAGTCGAAAAGAAGCCATTTTTTTTGAGAATATCTTGACGATGGATGAGAAGTGGATTCACTTTGATAATACTTCTCGAAAAAGACAATGGCTGAGCAAAGGTCAAGCGCCAATTCCAACTCCAAAGCCGGATTATCATGGGCGCAAAGTGATGTTGTCTTGCTGGTGGAATATCAATGGACTTGTTCATTTTGAATTATTAGAGCCCGGAAAAACAGTCGATTCATCTTATTTTATTCAACAACTCAAGAAGGTTGACGAAATTTTGCGTGAAAAAGGCCTAAATCCCTCAACTATCAACTTTCTCCGTGATAATGCTCCAGCTCACACGGCAAAAACCTCTTGTAAGGAACTAGAGAAGCTAGGATGGAAGGTCTTACCACATGCGCCGTATGGTCCAGACTTAGCACCCTCCGATTTTCACCTTTTCAGATCGATGCAACATTCCCTTGAGAATTGCCAGTTTAAGAATGCAAAAGAAGTCGAAAATTGGGTGACCAACTACTTTGCATCACAGAATCAAGCGTTCTTTGAGAAGGGGATCCGCAATCTGAAGCAACGTTGGAGGGATGTCATAGATAATAATGGTGCTTATTGTTTTAAATAAATTGTTATCTAAAAAAATTTTGGATGACTTTAATGTTTGTTGACTTTGTTTGTAAAAAAACGAAATTTCATTTGCACCAACCTAGTAGTAATTGATTACGGTATCTTATTCATCGACTTTTTTAAACTTGTATATTGAATTTTACTGTCTACAGAGCAGTGGCAACCCGCTACAAGTTTCATTTTAGGCTGAATACTTTAACACAATCAATCTCCCGGTCCCGGAAATCCTAGTGTACAATTTTTTTCAATCCAAAACCCATCTTGAACTAAAAGAAGATTGTTAAAAGGAATGGCAAAGAAAGATTTCCGGATAGATTTCCGGATTGATCCCTGGATACCTTTTTACTTCTTTTTGCTCCTTTTCGCTTTACGGTCAGAGCCTGATCCTGAGCCTGAGCCTAAGCCTAAGCCTGAGCCTAAGCCTAAGCCTAAGCCTAACCACTAAGCTATCTGGCATCTTTTTGCCAGAGATGAAAGAGGAAATACAAAGGAAAAGAGAAAGAAAGAGAAGGGTACTATTACAGTATTTACGGTAAGTTTTTGAAAAGCCCAAACTCAAACCGATTTCCAATCTTGAGAACATCATAGTATTATCAAATGAACCTGTTAAAGCTGTAAATCAAATCAACAACAACCAATACGGATCTACGGTAACTAAGTTTTCAATAATTTCTTCAAATTGCGCCTTTTCCTTAAAGCCAAATGCTGTACTGACCATATAATATCATAAACGGTATCGCGATCGATGGTCGTTCACATGTTGGAATTGAAACGAGTAAAAGTAGACCGATTGCCGAGCCAAAAGAACCTTAATCAAACCGTTTAATCAAATTATGTTAAACTCACTGACTGACTGGAAAATTTTCCCGAGCTTTGTAGCATTTATGCCTTTTGTTCTCTTCAAATAATCTGACAAAATTCCCATTGTGTTCTTTGAGAGAAACTCGGCACAGAAAGGGATCATTGTGTAGAAACCGTTCTAAAAGAAAAAAGTGGCTAGATTTTCATTTAAAAGTCTTTTTGATTTTAAGGTTACGTAAACTGATGGACATAATTTTATGTTCACTTGGATTTTTGTGATTTTCCTTTATATTAGGTTGTCCGGAAATATTGGGTTGGTGAATTGAAAGCTGCGGGATTTTGAACTAAAATTTATTCAACATAAAACCATAAATTCATTCCAAATAATTTCCATTATTATTGACGACTTCTGGCCATTTTACAGGCAATTTGCGGATTCTTCTTTCGTAGTAGGATTTTGGTTTGTGTGTGAGACAAGTGTGAGACTCAAAAATGGAGGACTGGAGATGTCAGCCGTCAGCCCAGTTTGAGCACTTTCTTCAAAAGAAACCCATTTTGATGTCATTGGAAAAGTCGTAGAGATTCAAAAATTAGCCTTATAGCCAAATTTTCAAAAAGATACACTTAGTAGTTTCGCTTAAAATGCAAGTTTTGTTTTCATAAATGTTTTTCTATCAATTAAGCTAGACATTTATAAGAAGTTTGATGTTAGTTTTATATTTATGCTCTACTTTTATAATCTACTATATATAAAGCAGAAGAGACGTGCGTCCTCCATCTGTCCGCATCCATTGGCAAAAAGGAGCGCGGGCTTAGATTGCGTGGAAAACGTGGACCTCTCCAGTGAGCGACGCAACGTTCGTGCGTTTTGTCGACGTTTTGTGCGAAAGTGCTCAAACTGTCACATATGACAATAGCCGGCAGTTTTCAATTCACCAACCCAATAATTGAGAATATCTCATTGATTGATGTGTGTTTGTTTATGTTTTTAGCAATAAACAGTTTTGTGACAAAAACCGACATTACTTTTTCCGGAACCTAATATTACTGCAAGTACAAGATTTTAAAAACATTTGCTGTACGTAGATGTTCAACGTTATCATTGAATTTCAATGTTTTTGTATAGCTTTGTATAGCATTTTGTATAGCAAATCTATAACGAAAACCATAACAGCTTGACTCACATAGTGCATCGGCAGCAAAAGAACTTCTTTGAGAAAAGTCGGCAAAAAGAGTTGATTGAGGTTGAGGACGAAATTTGAAGAGAAATTGCAGAAATTGCAAGCGAACACTTCTTTTGACAACAAGATTTCTTTCCAGGGCATTGTTATGTTTTTCTAGAATTGAAACTAACAAAAAAATTATCTAGTTTCGGTACCGAAATTTTCTTTGTCGATTTAGTGTGAAGCTCTAGATATTTCTTCTCATCTTCATTGACGAAACGACTCTTTTGAGGCCAATTTGTGACAAGGAGACCACACAAAATACACCAAATTGTGCCCATTATAGCTAGAATATGTAGCTAAATAGCTAATTTGATTAGAATGTTACCAAAGAAATAGAAGATTGAAGGCCAGCCAAAGACGGATAAGCACAAGAAAGAGCTGATCAAAGAGGAGCCACCAGCTGCTAGCTAAAAACTTGTTCTAAATACAGTAAAGTCTTCTACGGACTATGGTAAACATGCTTTTTGCTTAAAAAAGCCTTCTAGAAAGTTCTCAAGTTCTAGTAGGTAGTTCTCAAGGTAAGACAAGCTTCGTTAGTATTAGATCCATTACTCATCTATGATTTGAACTTCTGACTCAACAAGTATTAGGTTGTCCCATAAAAACCCAGAGATTTTGAATTTCATTTATTTTTAGCACATAGAAACAACGAAGAATCAGAATCAAATTATATATTTTCCAGATGAATTTATAACTTTTCTCCAACGTTTGGGTAGCTTGTCAATCCCCCGTTCGGTAAAATCCAAGCGGGCGCGAGCGAAAATAGTCGTCCAATTCGTCCTCGAATTCGCTCTCATCTTTGAACTTTTACCAGAAGAGACAGCGACAAGGGCAACGTCCGGAGAATACGGTGCATGAGGAAGGATATTCCAGTGTAGGTTGTCCTTCACAAAATCGATCGATCTTTCTGATTTGTGGGAGCTTGCGCCATCCTGAAGAACAAAAACGGGGCCGTTCCATTTGTTTTCATAGAGTAACCTTTGCGACTTTTGTTCCACTTTTTCATATGATTTAGATAAACACGATGTTGAAATTTTGCCTCGGTTAAGAAGTTCCCAGAGAAGGATGCCTGTTGAACACCAGTCGACACACAAGATCGCTTCTTTTCGTGGATCTTCCGTTTTGGCAGCATTTTACATGCTTGCCCTTTTTCAATCACTGCCGTTGTAACACTCGACCACGTAGAAAACCCACGTTTGTTCGTGGTGATGTGTTCGAAAGTCGAAGCCGACATGCCGGTATTCGCTCCACGAATGGTTGCATGTCCGCTTTCTTTTGACTTGGATTGTTTCCGATCTTTCGTATGGAATTTAGCGTTGTTTTCTACGATTTCTTTCCACTTTTCGCAGTCATGGCTACACAGTCATCCATCCACAGTAACTTCCAACCAATTCTCCGGTTGATCCATCGGGGTTTTGCAGGAATCGGTGCCTCAAAATAGATCGATCCACTTTCCAGGGGTCGGCCGCTTCTCCTCTTCCGTTTGATCCTTGTGTTGTCCGTCTTGAATCTGTGAAACCATTCCTATGTAGTACTCGTTCCAACGATTTTGTTGCCATAAAATTGATTGATTTCTTGTGTTGCTTTGGCCGCTGAAATCCCTCTAGAAAATCATTGGAGCAGTTGGGTGTGAATTTCTTCTCGAGTTGGCTTCATTCGATCGACTGCAACTCTCTTCTCATGTCGACCCCTAAAAAATGAATGCTAGTGCAAGAAAGAAGAAAGTTTTAGCATGAAAAAGAAAAAAAGATGAATGCAAAACGTAGTGTTGTGAGCGAGTAGTGATTAAAACAAAAAATCTCTGGATTTTTATGGGGCAACCTAATATATGATCTAATAAGTATATGTTCTAATTTCTAGTACTAGTCGATTTTCTAGTACTAAACACAAGAACTACAATCAGGAATTTGATTGCTGTTTACTTTTGTGCTTTTATCAACTCAATACCTGAATTCCTGATGTATAAATCCCTGTAATCGTCGCTTTTTCATTTCGTGGAAACCATCTAGCAGCCAAACTGTTTAAGCAAGGAAAGATAAAACTCTAAAATCTTGACGTCAACCAAAATTTCAAATCCACTTACATCAACCAATCCAAGTAAAAGTCGCAATGAGAAGAAAGACCAAAATGAGTGATTGGCAATGATTGGAGAGAGATAACCAATCATTGTGTAGATCAGAGATGCCGCTAAAGTTGAATTTCTATTTCTATTAGGTTGTTCGGATATAAACGAGCGTTTGCACTGCTTAACTCGTGAGGAAGCCATTTCCCGCATTTGATCGTCTTTCCAATGGCGTGGAGATGGAGTAGAATTTGAACATAGAAACTGTTGAGCAAGTTCACGCGTCGTTTGACATGGATCTGACGCCCTCAAAGTATCGTCGTCTAACGCTTGAGGTCGACAAGAGTGTTCATCATCCTCGAGACTTTCATCACCATTCCGAAAGCGTTAGAACCATCGGCATCGGCATCGGCTTTCGGACAACACATCATTCCCAAATGCTTTGACCAAATCTCGATTGGATTCCGTGTTTTACCTAGTTTGAAGTCGTAAAGTAGGCAGACGCGAACTTGATATATTTGACGTCGATCATCTTTAGATGAAGCGGTGACAAATTAAGAATAAAAACTCTAAAAAGAAATCGTCATAAAAAAAAAGAAGTCGTCAATAATTATGGAAATTATTTGGAATGAATTGATGGTTTTATGTTGAATAAATTTGAGTTCAAAGTCCGGCAGTTTTCAATTCACCAACCCAATAGAATTTGAACATAGAAACTGTTGAGCAAGTTCACGCGTCGTTTGACATGGATCTGATTCGATTGCAGCCCTCTAATTATCGTTGTCTACCGCTTGAGGTCGACCAGAGTGTTCATCATCCTCGAGACTTTCATCACCATTCCGAAAGCGTTGGAACCAGGCTTGGCATCGGCTTTACATCATTCCCAAATGCTTTGACCAAATCTCGATTGGATTCCGTGCTTTGCCTAGTTTGAAGTCGTAAAGTAGGCAGACGCGAACTTGATTTCTGAAGTCGGTCATCTAAAGCAAGAAAAAAAGATCTTAAAAATAAGAAATTATCCGTTTAAAAAGATTCCAAATATGCACAAGTTAGCGTACTTTTAAATACAGAAAGACATTTTTTAAAAGCTTCTCTCACAACAATAAGTTTAGCAACGCTTGTTTATATCCGAACAACCTAATATTTCAAATTTATATTTTCATACCAATCAACGACTTTTTTGGTTCAAAACGATCCACAATGTATCCGGCAAAGAAAGCGGTGACAAATGAAGAATAAAAACTGGCGGAGAAAAGAAGAGATTGCATTGAGGGACTCCAATCGAGATCACCCTGAAATTTCTCAGATTCTTGATTATTCTATAACTAGTTAGATCCATTTTACAATGGGAATCCAATAGAGATCACCCTGAAAGTTCTCAAATTCTTGATTATTCTAGAATTAGGAAAGTTAGATCCATTTTACATTGAGATTCCAATCGAGATCACCTTGAAAGTTCTCAGATTCTTGATTATTCTATAACTAGTTAGATCCATTTTACACTGGAGCGCTCAATCAAGCAAGCCTTAATCTTAAAAAAAAACAGAGGTAACATTCTGGGATAATCATGTACTCAATCGTGTAACGAAATGGTGATTCTACTTTAATCAATGGTTCAATTACCCGACCCACACCATCTTTGTAATGCATTTTGTACTTACATGATTGTAAACATGTAAACGTATCTTTTCGGAAGCACCAAAACATATTTGCAACATTCTAGGATGACCTTAGAAAGAGTCACAACTACCCCAGCTGCTGATTATTTTTTTCTTTGATACCGGTTTACCATGTTTTATTTCACAACTCACATTATATCCCATCACTGTCAGATTACCACTGGATCGCTCACATTTTGCAGAGCTGAACGCAATTGAGACGAGTGAACTGTTACCATGTGATACTGATGCAAATTTTGGTTTTACCTAGAAGCTTGAATGAACCCAAAATTCCTTTTTTAGTTCTAGTAACTGAACTAAGAAGGGAAGGATGATTGGGTCCAGTGGCCTTTTTCGATGATATATATGATCTTACAATGGAATGACAATCCTCATTTCATCATGAGATCTATCGAATGATGGTATCACTCATCCCAAAGGATCACTTCCATTCTCTAGCCATTCACTTGCTAGTTCTTAAACTCTTAGTTCAATTACTAAAATCTTACAATGGAATGAGGATTGGGTCCGGCCAGGCTTGTGGTCTTTTAGATTATTTGATGCAGAATTTTACGTTGATTCTAATGATGTAAAAAAGATTAGCTGCCGAATACTCATAATTGTGATTTATCCTATCTTAAATATTAGCACAACCATCTTTTTTCTATAAAATCAAACAAATTCTAACATTCAAATGCAAATTTATCATACAACAATGCAAAATGATCCAAACTTAAAATTCCATGCAAAAAAAAACATCAAAAATTTAGTAGAAAAGAAAATAATGAAGAGAAACTATTCACTATTTAAAAGCAAAGGAAAAAAACAAAAATAGACATTGAGAAGCTATTAAATGTTTAACAAGAATGACAAACGACAATCGAATGATGGAAAAAGACTGAAAAAGAAGAGAAAAGAACGTAGAATGCAAATTTTACATTTGAATTTTCATATCATTTGAATCAGCGTAAAATCCTGCGTCGAATGATCTAGATGTCGTAGCCGTTTACGAAATTCAGCCGCTAACGAATCATTGGTTAAAGGCTAGCCGTTTACGAACGATTACCAACGATTACGAACGATCGTTAGCGGCTTCGGCTACCGCTAACGGCTACCGCTAACGGCTACCGCTAACGGCTACCGCTAACGGCTACCGCTAACGGCTACCGCTAACGGCTACCGCTAACGGCTACCGCTAACGGCTACCGCTAACGGCTACCGCTAACGGCTACCGCTAACGGCTACCGCTAACGGCTACCGCTAACGGCTACCGCTAACGGCTACCGCTAACGGCTTACCGGGCGAAGGTTCTACCAATGAGCTACACCAACACGTGCCCCATTGCCGTCAGCGTAGGTCCTTATGCTTTACTCTCCTTTATGAGAATGGACCCGATTGCGTCTGGTAGCCGTTAGCGAAAAATTTCATTCGTTAGCTGTTAACGAATCATTCGTTAACGGCTGAATTTCGTAAACGGCTACGACATATATATCATCGAAAAAGGCCACTGGACCCAATCATCCTTCCCTTCTTAGTTCCATACAACTTTACCATACACGGAATTTACCATACACGGAATTTACCATACACGGAATTTACCATACACGGAATTTACCATACACGGAACAAGCTCCAACAATCCTTCAACAATCCTCCAACAATCCAACAACAATCCAACAATTAACAAACCATGCACGGAATTGCCATATTCAAATTCAGTCTCATTGTCCACACCGCCCATAATCCAAAAGTCAACAAAAGACCGAAGCGAAGACGAAAAGATTTCAGGGAAAATAGCGGTGATTTTATTTCACTCATCGATTCAGAAAAAGCAATCGATCAAAAGGAAATTTTTACTAATCAATGAAACGATTGAACTTTCAATGCTATCCTTTTCGTATCTTTGATTTGAAATTTCTCTCAAAACTTTTGCTTAATCTGTCACTTTTTACACTTCATCTCAAACATATCAAAAGATTTTTTTTGATTGCTTTAAACAATATTATACTTTTTGTAAAGTTTTAAGTTTGTCGAGTGAATAGCATTGCTTACAAATGTAAGAATATCTGTTCTGGATAAGATGTGCCTCTATCCCTTGATTCAGGCAGAATATTTATTAAAGCATAGAATTAAAGCATTATTAAAGCATACAGAAAAGTTGAGGGAGAAATGTTTAGAAATGTCGATGTTTTGGCTGATCACCCCTAAAAGACAAGAATTCGATGAGAACCGCTCTTTTTAAATCATTTTACTACAGGGTGTTCCAAGAGTTCTGTAAAGTTCCAAGATAACTCTTTGTAAAAGCAGCTAGCAAATGTCTAACTTATTTCAAAAGCGGTAAACGTTATATAGAGATCTGAAGCCCGGAATCTTGGCTACATCTACATATCAAAAGTCTTGGATTGGAGTCACATAACTCATGTGACAAATGTTTGAGTGAGCACTACTCGGTCGCTGCTGGCTAGCTAGGTGTCATTCAGCTAGCTTGTGGCTGGGGAAATCGTGGAAAGATTTTGGAGGAAAAGGATGATTCAGAGGGAACATTGATCGATAGATTTCAAAGATAAATAAACTTTAAGAAGTTCCGAACAATATCCCCGAGCGGTTCCGTGCTCTGTTCTGTTCTCGATCCGTTCAAGGTCATAAGATTTTGATTTTTAGGGGAGTGGGACAAATGCGACCTTTTTTTGCGTACCCGGACATTTGCGCACCTTTTTTTCCGCACTTAACCCATTAGCGCACCTTTTTTCGCGTTTTAAAAAAGCTCTAAAAAGCTAATATTAACCAATTTCTATTCCAAATGTTGTTTTTCTAGGTAATTTTAGGGCGTAGAATCGAGATTTTGGCATATCAGAGCTTGTGGAAGCGAACGGACGGAGTTATACAAAGAGAAAAATCAACAATTTTTAACCTAGCCTTTTTTGTCTTTCAAATTGGCTCCACACGCTCTGTTATGTCAAAATTTGAATTCGACACCCTCAAATTACCTAGAAAAACAACATTTGGAATAGAAATTGGTTAATATAAGCTTTTTAGAGCTTTTTTAAAACGCGCTAATGGGCAAGGTGCGGAAAAAAAGATGCGCAAATGTCCGGGTGAGCAAAAAAAAGGTTGCATTTGTCCCATTCCCACTTTTAGTTAATGTTTGCACTTTTTTTCAATCTAATATTATGCTAAAGAAAAGTTTATTGCTTTGTAATGCATATTTCATGCTCTTTCACGGTCTCCATACTGCTTGAGATGAATTTAGAGCCTCGTTTGGTGGATTGATCAATTTTCAGTAAACCATACTACAAGAGTTTTGTTTTACAACTACACAAATGCTGCAACAAAAGAGAATCCTGGACAGAACATAACGAGCAATCTAATTCCAGTAATCTTCAATAGTAACGGATTACTGCAGCGCATCAATGTTTGCCATTGTTCTCCTCAGCTGCCAGCAACCTTACAAATTAAAATATTATAAACATTCAACAATTTTGACTGTTCTTTGCCAATTTCTTTGAAAAACAAGGATATGACCTTGAAAGTTTCGATCAGAACGATAAAACGATTTTTTGGAACAGGAGAAGTTCTAACAGGTTATGTTTATCGAAAATTATACAAAATTGAAAAAATGATAGTGACGTTGAAGATCCAGAAAAACGATGATGAGAAAGCATGAGATTGAGAGAGTCGGGAGAGATGAATTGATGTACCAATGATTAGGCCAGTCTGACGCATCCGTTGGATCTAAAAGCTCATTCTCAGTTACCCACTTTGATTGAAGAAAAGTTAGAGCTGATATTAGCAAAGTGCATGGTTTCTTCGAGCAATTTTAGAGCTGGATTTCAATGAGAAATGGGTATTCAATGAATAAAAGTATTTACAGTACAGCCGGAAGTTAGTCAAACCAGAGCCAGATCCGCTAAGTTAGTCTAACCAGAGTCAAATCCAGGTCTGCTCTTGCCAGGGACTTTTTCTGAATTGCAATAAAGCCAGATTCAGAACCTAGAAGACGCTTTTTCAATAAAAGAATCCTCTAAACTTTTCTCTTTACAAAAAGAAGCCTCAGAACTCACCTCCATGTTTTGCCAAAACGATTGCTGTCAGTAACAAAAGACCTAGCCATTTTTGAAGCATTTTCTCTACGATTGATTGGTTTTTGGGTAGAAAAATAATATAATCTGTAATCTCTGCAATCCAAAATGGGACCGAAATGGTGGAACGATTCGAGAAAAATACCAGGAAAATGAAAAAAAGAAATTTAATTGAGAAATTGAGAATTGAGAAATTTACAAAATAGTAAAAAACGCGCGTTCATAACTGGACAACCCAATCTAACCAAGACAGGCATCATTAGAGTTTTAGTTCGTTTGGAATAAAGATCAGAATAGAGATAAGCTAAGCTTTTATTACGTTTTAGTTCAAAATACAGTAGTTAAGCCAAAAGTTGAAGTTTTCCCGTTTCAGTTACAATGGCATCCAGGCAATGACACTTTTGACGGGTTTATGGCAAGAATTCATGTCAAAACAGCTGGATTAAAGAAGCCATTCATCAGTTGTGAACGAGAAGCGCCGCATTTCTTTGATTCAACACCAACGACAGCTACAGTAAACGATGAAACTCAATCCGAAGCTCATTCAAATCCTTTTTTTGATTCAAAAATAGATCCCATTTTAAAGCTTTATCTTTCATGTTTCATGTTATTTTTTATTTTGGTTCAATAATGTTCTTTGTTCTTTTAAAAGTTGAAACTGAAAAGATTCAAATCATCAATCAAATTTCGTTGTTTCACTTTGTTTGTGAACGGCGTTTCGTTGACAATCAAGACATCAATACTACTAAAAACTAAGGTTATAACTGGATATCTTTACCTTCAAATAACTGGATATCTTTACCTTCAAATAACTGAATATCTTTACCTTCAAATGAAGCATTTAAAAGCTAAGCCGGGTCGAGTCTACCTTAGCTGGGTTGGGCCTACCGTAGCCGGGTTGAGCCTACAGTAGTACTGTAGACATATAGACAGATACTGATGTAGTTCAGGTCTGTACTGGTCTTTATGTACTTTAGTGAGTCATAGTATTGTTCAGTATGCTATTGAGTACAACAATTACGTTGCTAGACTATAGACTGGCTTTTGAAACTTATCCAAACTTGAACCGAGCTTTTTCTAGTACTAGCATCTACTGCCATTAGCTTCAAGACATCAATACTACTAAAAACTAAGGTTATAACTGGATATCTTTACCTTCAAATGAAGCATTTAAAAGCTAACTGTAGCTAAAGCTTTTCCACTCATCTATTTCTCAATAGCCTTTTTTACAATCGACAATCGATCAGATTACAATCGACTTGTGAATAATGAATCAATGAATGTTTAAGCTTTTCAGCTTTTGGGGCTTTTCACTTTTAAAGACTTTTGTCAGAACCGAGATACAAAAGAAACGATAAATAAAACATTGGCTTTCTTGGAGGGGTTTTTTTTGAGACAAAATTAGACATTCGGATCTTTAGGGTCTTTTACGGCCCAGTCGCAGAAAAAAGCTATTGTTCATTGTTCTCAAAGAGCTCAAAAGAAGCTCAAAGAAGCTCAAAGAAGCTCTTGTTAAGCTGAAATTTGTTTTATCGCTAAGGTGCAAGTATGAACACCTTCAAGCGAATCTGATTCGGGCGATTGTGCTTTTCGACAAGGTTATGGTAAGTTGTTTTTGATCTGAGTCTTTTTTTGATCAAAATTACCCCAGAATCTCTTCCCGTTTGAGTTCAGTGTTTATTGAAAATGAAATCTTTTAATTCTGATTTAAACGATTGCACATCTAACACCATTTTCCAGAGTCACCATTTCGTTTTTTTCGCCACCTTTGGGCTTATTGCAATGATGACTTTTTGGCTAAGCGTCGAATACATGATACCCATATCGGAAAGGGTCACTTTTCTGCGAGGAAATGCCAATTTGGGTAAAAGATCTTAAAATATGTACAGGATTTCCCAAAAGTTCTTGTACTTTTTGTAAACGAACACTTTGACTCGGAAAAGACACTATTTTTGAAAAACTAATGCCAGATTATAAAAATTCAGATATTTTTACCTCTACTATACTTTTTTTGCTTAAAATTTGCAACTCTAAACGATTTTTTAATGAGCATGCTTAAAAGGTTTTGTTTAAAGGTTAAAAGGAAAGAGGAAAAGGAAAGAGGAAAAGGAAAGAGAAAGAGGGAAGAGGAAGAGGAAAAGGAAAGAGGAAGAGGAAAGAGGAAAGAGGAAGAGGGAAGAGGAAAAGGAAAAGGAAAGAGGAAGAGGAAGAGGAAAAGATTAATAGAGGAAAAATGGTAGACTAGACATACTAATACTAAACTTAAAAATAAGCAATTTGTTTATAGCAAAAAAAAATTATCAGATTTGACCACAAGTTCGCCTACTGAGCCGTCTACTAAGCCGTCTACAAAGCTATCGGAAATTTCAAAGCTGGCGACAACTCTCCGACCGGCAACTACGTCAAAAATGAAGGAATTTTTGCAAAGTGTCACTCAAGCAGCAAAAAACTGCACTTCAGGTAAATGGGTGGTAAAGGGCATTTATCCAGAGTGTAAATACCGTATTTTCTCTAATAGTAGTGCATTCTGAGCGTTGCCTAAATCTCGAAATCTCGTAAAACGCTTATCAGAACCTATTGATGTGGGGTCAGAAAATGTAGCTGACGATGAGATCTAGTGGGGGATTAGAGTGTTGAGCTTCTGCAAAAGCTTGGAAACCGTAAAATAGTCACCAACTCGGCTCGCCGGGGTCCACTACTATTAGAGAAAATACAGTATACTTACTTGTTGTTTATTAAAGGGGTACTCTGATCTAAAAGTTGTCTTTGAAGAATCGCGATCATTGTTGGATGCATTTTAGTCTTTTCTACAACTATTTCCTATATGAAAAACAAGGTTTCTAATAGAGAAATGAAGAAAAACGCAATTTTTGCTTTCCGTCGCACCCTAAAACGTGAATATTTGGGCGAAAAGTATTTAAAGGTTCCGTCTAATTGCATTTTAGCACTTGCGTTCTTTTCTTTTGCATGTATTTAACATTAGCATGTAAATATTAACCATAATTATTGTGACAAGGTATTTGAAAACAATAAACGCTTGATATGCATTAATATTCGATACATTTTAGTTATTTTAAAACCAGAGATTCTTAGCTACAAAATGATACATCAATTGTAAAAATTGGCTCAATATTCGTTTGTATCCGAGTGAAACTTTGCCATTCGAGGAGTCGAGTCGCGGGCCGTTTATCGAATTTCTTTTTAAGCCTCTTTAAAGCCTTTTCCTCTCAACTACCCAACCTAAAACCCAAATTTTTGTAGAGGTTTTTATGCTCTATTCGATGATACAAAAAGTAAGACAGATTTAATATGAAAAAACCAGCAAAAAACGCTCACCAACTTTCGCGTTTTCCACGCAATCTAAGCCCGCCCCTTTTTGCCAATGGCACAGACGGACAAACGTCTCTTCTGCTTTATATACGTCTCTTCTGCGTTTACGAAATTCAGCCGCTAACGAATCATTCGTTAACGGCTAGCCGCTAAAGAATTTGTTTGTTATAAACGTTATTATGTTATACATGTTAAATGTTATAAATTTTATTTCACTTGTTGTGATTAGTGGATTAGTTTGCCTTTTGCATAAATAGCTTGAAATCAAAAACTCATTTGAATCGAGCCATGTTCGCAGAAGGCGATTACAAATTGTACACGGCTAGCGAAAAAATTTCATTCGTAATCGGCTAGCCGTTAACGAATCATTCGTTAACGGTATCAAAAAATAGCCCTGAATTTCAGCTTTCATTTGATACTTAGACGCACACTATAGCATAAACGGGTGGCGAAAAAAATGCGTTTAAAGTTGGCCTGCGTTTACGAAATTCGTAAACGGCTACGACATATAGATTCCTAAGAAAAAATGTAAGTCAAAAGCCTATATTTCGCTATATAATGTTAGCTCCTTCAACAAGCTTTGACAAATTACACAAAAAAAAGTGCCAAAAAAACTTAGTCGCCAACCTAATATTTATAACTAAAATTTATCCAATATTAATGTACATCAAGCACTTATTACTTTCAAATAACTTGTCACAATAATTATGAGCCATCCTGTAGAACTTCTAACAACACGTTTGTCGAGAACCCAACAACAATAGATTTGGTTACAACAAGTACGCCATCTCAAGCCATGATTCAATGCCCACCTCATGCCTACGAATGGAATGATCCTAACCTTATCCGCCTACTGGGGAAGGTCGGATCGCCCTATTTGATGACCATATTTGGGCGAAAGCCACCGGAGTGTCACCGAGAGGACGGCTACACTTTCTTGGAGAATGGCACGATTCGAATGAATCCCGCCTTTAATAGTACGGTGGGACTTCAATGTGTAGCCAAGTGAGTACATAATTTCCATCAAAGTTTTTTGACCTATTAGATTCGTGCATAAGTCTTCACAATTTTTTCGAATCTTCTTTTAAAAATAACGCCGCCACCAACCTTTCTATTGAAACTATTAAAAAAGTTAATTGTTTCTCTGCAAAATGGCTTTTGGGAAATTCTTGGAAATAGTTGTTTTTAATGTTTTTATGGATTTTCAAAGGCTCAAATGCAAGCACCCAAAACCGCTCCAATCCTGAAGTCGTAATTTGTACACTTTCTTCAATACAAATCTATTTAGGTGCTAAAGTCTGTAAAATTTGAAAACAATCTGCCTAGCCACTTTCTTTAAAACAGCAATTACAAACTTTACATAAAAAATCGTTTTTACTGAGTTGAGGGGAGCTTTGAGCTAAAAAAAAAAAAAAATAAAAAAAAAAAAAAAAAAAAAAAAAAAAAAAAAAAAAAAAAAAAAAAAAAAAAAAAAAAAAAAGGAAAAAAATTTTTGCCATTTCAATACAAACCTATTTTGGTGCCAAAGTAAATCTTTCTCTCAAAAGCCATTTTGTAGAGAAATGATAAACCTTTTTAATAGTTTAGTCCGCATCAAAGGAAGAGGATTCTTTTCCATTTGGAAACAAAAGTTTGGAAAAAAATTGCAAAGACTTATGCACCAATCCCATTAAAATTGTAAAATTGTATATTTTAATGACTTGCACCAATCCCATTACTTATGTTCGCTGTTTACGTAAAGCAAAAAAAGTTTAGAGGTGTGCCTATAGAGCTAGCAATACCAAAGTTCGTTTTGGATCAACATGCCACGTCGGGGATAATTGCACGGAGTTTGCGTGCGATTTTGTGCTTGTCAACTGCGACGTGAATGGATCCAGTGTTCACATCGATATACATATGCAGATTTTTGAGTACAGGTGCAATCAAAGGTTTAATGGTCAAAAAAAGGTTTAATGTTTAAAAGATTAAAAGTTTAAATGAGAAAATTCTTTTGAGAGAAAATTTAGACGTAATCGAGGCGGTCGATCTGATAATCGCAACCGCCGGAGCCTTTTTCCGATTCAATCAACCAACCAAACCAACCCAACCATCACCAACCAAACCAACCAAACCAACACAACCAAACCAACCAAACCATCACCAACCAAACCAATATCTATCAGCCCAATGTCTATATTCTTGTACTCGATTCGGCTGGCCGCTATCCAGCATTGAGGTACTTATTTAACTAACTATTGGGTTGGGGAGAATGAAATGGCGCCGAAAATTAAAGATTTCTTCAAATGAAGCGCGTTTTTTATAAGTAGAAATGTTAATTAATCCTTTAGCCCTACAAGTGCGCAGTTTCCATTTTGAGAAAACTTTTTAGACAACTCAAAAGGACCTACGCGTTTATGATCGACGAAATGGGCGCCATCGATTTCACCCGGTACAACCACGTCGGCTACACGAGTCGAGACAATGCACTGGTTGCTTTTTCGGGTCTGTTTTCAGAAAAGGTTTATTTCTTTCTAAATACAAAAACGAAAATTACCGTAAATATTCCAATAAAAGCTTCTAAGTGCTTCTATTCAACTTCAGTTGAATAGAATTCAATCTTCAACCCCTAAAAATTTCCCAAGCAAAAAACGAGGTAGCGAGGCACCAAATGATGAAGAAAATATTTTCTTTTACTAAAAACTATTTTAAGCAATAGCCTTTGGCCTAAAATGTACGAAAAAGACATTTAAAACGAAAACCTTTTTCTTCTCTGGACGGGGGGTCCAGAGAAGAAAAAGGTTTTCGGGTCGATCCCCAGGTCGACCCCCAAAAATCCATCACCCGACCCGACCCGATCCGACCCGACCCGACCCGACCCGACCCGACCCGACCCGACCCGATCCGACCCGACCCGAACCGATCCGACCCGCTGCGCATGTCTAATATATAGGTCTATATTTATAAATTAAAGTCGTTAAAACTAGAAAAAAAGAAATTTTTGAAATAATTTTTATCTGAAGACAAATTAAGCGGGACAAATTGTGCTTCTATTGGAATATTTACGGTAGCTTTTCTTGAGCATATGCCAGATCAACAAATTCAATAATGGAATCATTGACGATAGCATGGGACACTAGGGCAAGGGACACTAGGGCAAGGGACACTAGGGCAAGGGGCACTAGGGCAAGGGGCACTAGGGCAAGGGGCACTAGGGCAAGGGGCACTAGGGCAAGGGGCACTAGGGCAAGGGGCACTAGGGCAAGGGGCACGGGCAAGGGGCACAGGGCAAGGGCCAGGGCAAGGGGCACAGGGGCCTAGGGCAAGGGGCCTAGGGCAAGGGCCGGGCAGGGGGCACGGGCAGGGGCACTAGGGCAAGGGGCACTAGGGCAGGGGCCAGGGCAGGGGCCTAGGGCAAGGGACGGGCAGGGGCACTAGGGCAAGGGGCACTAGGGCAAGGGGCACTAGGGCAAGGGGCACTAGGGCAAGGGGCACTAGGGCAAGGGGCACTAGGGCAAGGGGCACTAGGGCAAGGGGCACTAGGGCAAGGGGCACTAGGGCAAGGGGCACTAGGGCAAGGGGCACAGGGCAAGGGGCACAGGGGGCACAGGGCAAGGGGCACGGGCAGGGGCACTAGGGCAAGGGGCCAGGGCAGGGCACTAGGGCAGGGGCCTAGGCAAGGGGCACAGGGCAGGGGCACTAGGGCAAGGGGCCTAGGGCAAGGGGCACTAGGGCAGGGGCACTAGGGCAAGGGGCACTAGGGAGGGGCTAGGGCAAGGCTAGGGCAAGGGGCACTAGGGCAAGGGGCCCAGGGCAGTGGGAAGGGGCACTAGGGCAAGGGGCACTAAGGGCAAGGGGGCAATAATAATTAAAATTTCAGGAATCATTGGCGAGAAAGCCGATCGCTCGCTTTTTGGTGGGACGATACTCAAGTCCTCGTTCAAGTGTGATCAATTTCTCGACAATCAAAGCCACATTTTCTTTGAATTCGAAGTAAACCATTTGTGTTTTTTTACACAAAACTCACTCAAGGATGCCGGCTATCAAACGATGTTCGCTCAAGACTATCCCCACGATCTCTACGCTTACATGGACTGTGCCGGATACAAGAACGACTTTGCCGCGCATCTTTTTAGGTTAGTATTTATACGAATCATTCAAATTGTTTTCAGGCCATTCATCCTTCTTACAACGCCGCAAGATTCTGCAGAGCGGTAAGGTGCAGTTAAAACTTGGAAATCTCGCCGTTTCACAGAAGAACATGGTCTAAAATTGTGGAAAGAACTTTGCTGGAGGAACACTTGCTCAAGCCCGAAAACTGCGGCCGAACGTTTCAACACGTGCTGAGATATCTCGAGCGATTCATCGATTCGTATGAAGGTTTGCAAGAAATGTTACTGATTCTCTTTGCAAATTGAGTGTTGCTTTGGAACCCTATTCAAAAAGTGGCTCTTGCTCTTGGTATTTTGAAAGAATCCTGGTATTTTGAAAAAATCCGGGTCGAATGGGTCGTCACACTTTGAAGGCCTATAACTTTGTCTAGAGATAATATTTTTGCTAACTTTTTATATCATTTTACAGAGGACATTTCAGGTTTTCAAATGATACCAAATAGAGATTGATTGGATAATCCAGTCCATGAGAATCAGAGCCTAAGCCTAAGCCTCTAAGCAAATAAGGCCTATCCAACTCGGGTGTCGTATCGCCTGGTTTACAAGGAAATGAAAAATCTAGTCAAGCTCTAGTTGGATAGGCCTTATTGTTGGATAGGTGTTGGATAGGCCTTATTTGCTTAGAGGCTTAGGCTTAGGCTCTCCATTTTAGTTGGCTCTGATTCTCATGGACTGGATTATCCAATCAATCTCTATTTGGTATCATTCGAAAACCTGAAATGTCCTCTGTACAATGATATAAAAAGTTAGCAAAAAGTTATAGGCCTTCAAAGTGTGACGACCTATTCAAAATACCCGGAAACTACCCAAAAACCCCAAAAATTTCGTAAGGTTTGCAAGAAATTCGTTCAAAATTTAGTGGCTAACGAACAAAATTTTGTTTTTGATTGCATTAGCTTTAAATAATGCTTTTTAAATTGATTCGCCTTTCGACTAGATTCGCCGAAAATTTCGATCGTTTGGACGAATGAGGGCCATGATGAAGAGAAGGGTTTTCGAGTCTCCGATCATCACTACGAGAAATTTCTTCGAGATAATAGAGAAAAAGTTGGACTTTTACTGTAAATGCTGTACCTATTTTAGCTAAAAGATGCCTTTCTCATTGTGATGGGTGACCATGGACAGAAAGGAGGCAAGGTTTGAAAAAACATCGATCACCTTTGAAATGCTCTCTCGAATAGATAGGAGACACCGAGCAAGGACAATTCGAAAATCTCACGCCACTAATGCTTTTCTCAGTCCCACAAAAACTACGGTAAGATGCATCTTTTTGTGGCTAGCATATTCAGCAAAGTTAGACTCTACAAAACGTTCCGGCTGATGGTTCAGATTCGGTATTATGTTGAGTACTAATTCTTGATAATACTTTTTGTTTTTTGTTCAAAGAGCAAACTATGGCTTTTTAATATGATAATCAGACATAGATTGCCTGGCTTTGGACAAAGTTTCTTCCCGATCTAATGGTCGGGCTTCAAACAGGAGGCTTTTGTTTACAATCAGTCGTTTACAGTTTACAATCATACAAAAACACATGGTTCAGTCTCTGAGAAATCCCAAAAAACAAAAACTCTTGTTGTGCGATGTGGCCTAGATTAGAATCGACTGGTTTCAAACAAAAGCCTTCTGCTTAAGCCCAGCCATTAGATCGGGATGAAACTTTGCCAAAAGCTAGGCAATGCGTGTCTCATTATCCAATCAAAAATTGGTAAAAGTCTATGGTTTGTTCCTTAAAGAAAAGAAGAACAAAAAGTGTTATCAAGAATTAGCACTCAACCTAATACTTGAAACCAGAAAGAAAATGGATTTGTATCCAAAAAAGAAATTGTAGCAAGCTTAAACAAATAGCCCAAAGTTTAGATTCTATGAAGAAATAAGCTTCCTATTGATTAGGAACACTTCTAATTGGCTCAATTTGTTGTATCCTATAAGAAATTGGCCCTCTTAGATAATTGGAGAAAAAGCACCCTCAAGTCACAATCGGCTAGGCAGCAAAATCGGAAGCAAAGTTTCTTCCCGATCTAATGGTCGGGCTTCAAACAGGAAGCTTTTGTTTGAAACCACTCGATTCTAATCTAGGCCACATCGCACAACAAAAGTTTTTGGTTTTTGGGATTTCTCAGAGACTGAACCATGTGTTTTTGTATGATTGTAAACTGTAAACGACTGATTGTAAACAAAAGCCTCCTGTTTGAAGCCCGACCATTAGATCGGGAAGAAACTTTGTCCAAAGCCAGGCAATCTATGTCTGATTATCATATTAAAAAGCCATAGTTTGCTCTTTGAACAAAAAACAAAAAGTATTATCAAGAATTAGTACTCAACCAAATAGTTTTTTGTATTGTTTAGTCCTTTGTCGTATTGTTTTGTCTCAAGCTTGTAAAAGACAAAATACCCTTATCCAGAGATACGCCGCTTGAGGCAATGGTTCGGAAAAACGCCGATCAAGTGTTCACGCCACACGACCTTCACGCCACTCTGATCGATATTGTTCGGGTAATGCGAAGGCTGTTTTATTTCTAAAGAAAGCAAAAGATTTTCAGATCGTGCTTTTTAGGTAAGCTATTTAATTTCGAATACCAGGCTGCTCACAATCAATTGATTCTAGAATCAAGCAAAAATCGGCTTTCGAGACACAAATTACTTGCGAATCAATGGTGAGCCTTGTTGTTTTGTGAGTGAGAGAGTTACCACCAAAAATTAATTACTCCAATAGTTTACTACTCTAATTTATATATAGTAACATAAATAGGTGTAGAATATATAAAAACTCCAATAGAAGGAGTTCTTCAATAGCCAGGTTAGGTTAGGTCCATTCTTCAGTTTAATTAGTGCTCGCTGAAAATGTTTTCAAAAATATCTTAACTATTGTTTTTCTGTTTTCATAGATATGTCGTAGCCGATTAGCCGATTAGCCGATTAGCCGATTTTTTGGCAAACCTTTCTAGTAGAGAAACCCTTTAATGTATGAGGACAATTTTATATCATTTCGTAGCGATTTAAATTCTGCGTCAATTGGTACCAAATTTGTGAGTTTTGGTTAAGAATTGCCAGCGCTACAACGATTTTGAATGAAATTCAAAGCTACGGCTTTGAATTTCATTCAAAATCGGCGGGACGCCCGTAGCCGATTATGAATTTCAGCCGATTATAGATTTCAACCGATTATGAGTTTCAGCCGATGAATGAGTGGATCTAGAAGCGTCCAACCATCATGCTTTTGGCATCATTCAACGCAGAAACATTGATAATTATGTTAAATTTTTTAAATTAGCAAGACTTGATAAAAAGAAAAAAAATTATAGCAAAAAACTGTTTGTTCGAGAGAAAACTTTGAAGCCCCGTAATGTTTTTCTTTTTAATTTAAAAAGTTAACATAATTATCAATGATTCTGCGTTGAATGATATCAAAAACATGATGGTTGGACGCGTCTAGATACTTCGGCTCATTCATAATTGGCTGAAATTCAAACCGGCTGAAATTCAAACTGGCTGAAATTCATAATCCGCTACGACATATACCGTATTCTCTCTAATAGAGGTGCACTCTTTAATAGTAGTGCACTCTCCAATAGTATTGCGGTCCAGGAGGGGGTTGAAAAATAGTAGTGCACCCCCGAAAATTTGAATTTCTGTTTGCTTCTTTTTCATCTAAACCTTTTTGACTTTATATTTATGTGGCATTCTAAAGCTATTCAAGCAAGCAAAACTGAGGCTTTTTTTATTCATTTATTAACTATTCTTCACATGAAAAAGTTAGCAAAAAATCTAAAATTGTTGTGCAAAGTGCAAAAACATCTTTTTTTTATTTGTCAAGAGACAAATTGTCAACTCACCGGCCCACAACTGTATGTCAAAAGGAGCCAAAGAAAAGCCAAAGTATTGTGAATGGCGTGACAATACGTGAAAGAATTGCAAGAATTTTTGGAACAAATCTTATATCTGTCTTACTTTGGTCAATGATAAAACTCTTTAAGAGTAGTGCACTCTCTAATAGTATGCGGTCCAGGAGGGGGTTCAAAAAATAGTAGTGCGCACTACTATTAGAGAAAATACGGTAGATATAAACATATATTTATATATAGCAAATGCAATAAAAATAGCTAGAATGTGGTCCGTTCCGTTTTTTCCAGTTGATTTTCGAGGGTTGAAAAATAGTGCGGCTGACCCTTCTATTGGAGTTTTTACGGTAGATAGACACAAATATTGACACAAAATCAAATGCCCAATGCCAGCTACTCGCGGAAACTCGTGGCTAAGAGAGTTGGACCCGGATCTTCCACGCGATTGTCAACACTTGCCGATTCCAGCTCAGTATTGCCCATGCAACTACTACACGAATGCTCAATCTACTAATCGGCATGTTGGCACTAAAATTCTAAAAATTCAAATTCAGAGGCTTCAAAATCACGCCCAAGCTGATCGAAGCAAATTTTGAGGCCTACCTGAGCGAAAATGGTGTGCTCGAACTCTGCGAGATGGCCAGAGTAGAAAATGTGAGGGCATCTGGATTATATCAGGGTGTAAAGAAAATAATGCGCGTTTTTTAAACAGAGCTATTTATTGAAAAGAACTTAAACAAGAAAAGAACAATCGGTTAGGGATTCTCTATTTTTATCAATGACTTCTTCCCACCTTCTGCGCAGATCCCATATCGAATCGTCAAATTCAAACGATCCCTTGTCTTGATTTTGGCCCTTCATAATGCACCAATCCTTCCAAATTCCACCATAAACAGAGCATGATCTTCGATCCATGAATATCGGGCTTGGAGGTGCTTTGCGGGCTTCACTAGTAAAGAGCCATTGATTTTTTCAAGTGACATTGTCTTAACCGATCCAAGTCTCATCAGAAGTGGGACAAATTCTAATAAAACTAGAAACTAATGTGTTAAAAGTATCGATTGTTTTTCAAAAAGATAGTCATTTTATAAAGTTTTTGCATTCCTAACCACATTTTGACAACACGATATAGAAAAATCGTTTCCAGATCACTAAAATGAGACAAGTGCTACTAAAAGAGCAACTAATCGCGATTCGCGTCGAGTTTTTCACAGCACGAGAAGCAAAGTTTATGGTAAGCATATTGGGGCAGCAACTTTTCTGATTATAGCAATCTTTTCTCTGATTCTAGGTGACATTTGGCATTCAACCAAACGGCTCACTTTTCATGCAACCCAAGGTTTTTGTTCGGCTAAATCGGTAGGAATTTGTTTTTTTGACTAAACAATTTCTTCTATTGCAGTGTTCTCGTATAAATTGTGCAGTGTACAAAAATTCTCACCATTTCAGTTATCACAACACGGCCGACTGCATCAGTGCTCAAAAAGCGGCTCTCCGACCGGTGTGCTATTGTAAAGCTCAGGAGAAGGGACGAGTGATAGTATAATATAATAAAAGTATTTCAAAAGCTTGAATCCAGCTTCTTATTTTAATATACAAGTTAATGCATTCACTAACCAAATATGTTTTTTCATTATAGAAAAATCAAATCATTTTCATCAAATCATCAATCAATCAATACATTGTTTATTCCTCAAATATATTTACAGAAAATTGGATCATTGACACGTATGATCTTTTGGTCTTTTGATATTGATATTGATCTTTTGATCTTGATATTGATCTTTTGGTTATTACATTCTTGACAGCTCTGCTAAATTTCTATTAGGGTGGTGCAAAAGAAACTGCCGATTTGACGGTAAATCCAAAATAAAAGATGACGTTCGATGGCGACATGATCACAATGGAATATTTTCGCAAGATCTTGAGCAGATTGGCATGGATCGGCCTGAATAACGCCGATCAGCATGGCTTCGTTCACGACTTCTGGCCTCGAACCGTGCTCGTAATCTTCCAAAGTCTCGTCTCCCTCTCGGAATCGTTGAAACCAAGTCTGACGCTGCCTGAGAGACAAACTGCCATCTCCGGAAGCAGCACAGAGAGAACGATGCGATTCGGCAGCAGACTTTCCAATTTTGAAGTTAAATAGTGATGCTGCTCGTAGCACAAACTTTTGCTTCACCATGATCTAAATAAAAAATATAAGCATTTTTAAATAAAATAAACAACAACCAAAAAATTCAAATGTCGAAATAAATAGTAAACAAATATGCGAACAAAACATAAAAAAAATAATGCCGTTAGCATCGCTCGTTTCTGATAAATGAGAGCTGATACCCATCGGCAGTTTCTTTTGCACCACCCTAATAGATCAAATCATCAATCAATCAATCAATCAATACATTGTTTATTCATCAAATATTTACAGAAAGTTGGATCATTGACACGTATGATCTTTTGGTCTTTTGATATTGATCTTTTGGTTATTACATTCTTGACAGCTCTGCTAAATTTCTAGTTGCCCCTTTTCATTCACTGTATTTTCCTTGCATCATCCCAATTAAGATTGATTGAATTAAGATTTCTTCTGTAAAAACTGATAAATCTTATAGCGATTTAGAACTCAATTATAAGCTTATCTATAAGCTAACGCTTAACATTATTGTTTGTATTAAAGAAAAATCAGTCAAAGCTAGTTCAGAGCCTAGTTGGATCATTGACACGTCTAAGTTCATTGATCTTTTGGTTATTACATTCTTGACATCTCTGCTAAATCATTTATTACTCTGATATGTACAGAAAAGAATTCTAAACAATCAAATCAAATCATAGAACGAATTTCACTTCATTTGCACCATGCTTTGAACATTTTCCAGCATTTCCAACAATCTTTTGCTTATCAAATTCACATCAACACAAGAATATCCCGTTTTTTCGACATCTTCCGGTTCCACATGAATTGCCTCGAAATTCACCAATCCTCGTCGGAAAATTGGAACTTTTTGCCCGTTCTTACCCGGCAATTTCAGCAAAACTTTCACTGAAGCAAGATCATTCCAATCAATTTTATAATTGTAAAAGAGTAGATAATTTGGACAATTCCTGGTTTTCATCAAATCTTTTGCACATCTTTCAATCTCCGATACGATCTTCAGCTCAACAATATGTTTTGCAGTCAATTTCTTTTCGATCTGCAAAAGTCTGATCCCAATTTCGTAAGTTCTTCTCAAAGTTTCATAATCGGATAAACTTTCGTAATCGATGTCGGAATTCTTGATTTCTTCACATTCGGAAACAGATTTCCCCAGCTGAAAAATGTAACTTGTATAGGGAAAAGCCCGCTTTGAGAGGTGAAACGATTGCATTAAACACTCCAATTCCAGAGAATCTCCAATCTCTTTTTGTTTGCTTTTCAATCTGTACTTCAAATCGACAAGCAGTTCTTCGATATGATATCCTCTATTTAAAAACAATTTGTACGGCTTTTCAACCGCATCTTCTTGAAAATATTCCATATTTCCCCGAAATTCTCCTTTCATTATAATCATTTCATGATATCCTCGAATAAAAAGTTTCCTCTTTCTTGAAAGTAACATCCATTTTCGATCAGGTGCATCATAAAAAGCTCTCGTAAACCATTGCTTATAGAAAAAATTATCCGATAGAGTGCCGATAATCTTGTAGATTTCAGCAATACTGTGAATCATTTCAGAAATCTCCTCTTTTCTCGATGCTTTGTATTCCCAGTGAATCGCTTGCACAAAACCAGATAACAACTTCTTGAACTCTTCTCGGAGACATTGCTCACAGATTTTCAGAGATATTTCAATGTGTTTGATCAAAGACTTTGGATATTTTCGTAACTGGAAGAAACGAATCAGTTTTTGATCGATTATTGGTGGAAATTTCGGCATCTCATCAATGCAAATAATGTAATCATCCGGAAAACGAGTGCACTTTTTGATTTGGTTCTCGATCGCTTTCAGCAATTTCTTATCCCCACGAATTGCCAGCATTTTCAGATTAGAAATCGCTTCTTTGAGGGTGATTTTGAGTGGAATCTCTGTTCTTTCATTCTCTAGAGTTAGTTCAATGATCATTTCGTCGTGAGATTGACTTTTAGAAGGTGACATTGAAATATTGGGAATGGTTATGGAGAGTTCCGTATTCTCAGAATGAAAAGATTGGATTTCTTGGTTGTTTCTCTGAAGCGGAACGGGTTTGAGCGGATGTTTTTGATTTGGCTCAATGATTGGGAGGAAGGATTCCATTGGAGATGACTAAAGAATTGTAGATTTAGGAGTAGACTTTGGTTTTATTAAAGGTGATACGGTATTCATTTTAATCACTTTCTAAATAGAGTCTGTAAGTAATGCGTTTTCTAAAACGTGAATAATTTGAATTGACAAACAGTTCTTCGATATGATGTCCTCTATTTAAAAACAATTTGTACGGCTTTTCAACCGCATCTTCTTAGTTAAAGGTGATACGGTATTCGTTTTAATTCAAGGTTTTAATTACTTTTCTAAATAGAGTCTGTTTCTCGTAAGTAATGCGTTTTCTGAACGTGAATAATTTGAAAACTTACCGTAATCTTTCCTTTAAGCTCTGAAGTAAGTAAACCAGAAGAGGAAGAGGGTTATTAGATTAGGATATTCAGTCTAGATTAGCTGGATTACGTTATTTATTCTCGATTAGGGTATTCTGTTAAGATTGGGATATTCAGTCTAGATTAGCTGGATTACGTTATTTAGGGTTACGATGGTTTTCAAATTACCCACATTTTGGAAAGCATATTCCTTACGAGAAACGCTTTCTATTCCTGAAAACACCGTGCAATTCCCTACCTCATTCATTTGTACAACTTGTGCGTGCACTTGCTCCACCTCTGGACGCATTTCGGGATTAAAATTAGTACATCTGAAAACAGTATTGAATTTTGTACAGATACTCGTTGAATACCTGAGAATGACTTCTTTAAACTCATCATCACAATATGAGAATTTGAGTCTGAAAGCGCCCATTCTCAGATCCTCAAATAAAGCAAACGCTTTGAACTTCTCGTCTTCGTACTCTTCGAAGATTTTTCTGAATTGTTAAAGATAAGTTTGATCTAACTTATGTAAACCTTCTTTCAACGATTTCCCAGAGAACCAGTCCAACCGAGTAGAGATCACTTTTGTAAGTGGCCTGGAAAAGCTATAGTTAAAGGAAAAGGCCTGGAAAAGCTATAGTTAAAGGAAAAGGCCTGGAAAAGCTATAGTTTTAGGCACAAAGTAGTCAAATTGAAATAATGTGGAAAAGAATTCTTTAATCTATTGAAGATCCTATTAACTTTAACTTTAACTCTATCTCCTATTAGCTTACCGTAATCTCGCGAATGAATCCCGATGATTCGGGGCTCACATATCGATCCGTCCCCGCCACCGACATCGAATATTGATTGCCATTGATTTCTTTCACGAATCCGAAATCTCCAAGTTTCAGCACAAAATCATTTGTGACAAGGATACTAAAGAATATTTAATCAAATCTACAAAGAATTCCCACTTTTCTGGCTTGATATCCCGATGAATGATCTGACTATTCTTTAGGTAAAGAAGTGCTGAAGTGAGATGTTCAGCCCATCCGAGAATCGTTTTCATACTGTAGATCACTTCTGCGTCTTTTAATACTGAAACCCAAACAAGAAACTATCACGAGAAACACAGCTAACACTTACCATGCCTCAAAGACAATCTCTCACAAAACTCCATGTGAATGACATAATATGAATCGTGATCTTTTCTCGTCTCACACATTCCATAATAGTTCACAATATTTGGGTGTCGCAGTTTTTGTAACACTTTGAACTCCCGTTCGTAGAATTCACGGCAATTCCCGTAAACAATTCGAATGTATTTGGCGGCAAGATGCCTGGAAAGTTCAGTCTAATAGAGGTTTTCTATTTTGGAAGGATGATAGGTTAGTCTTTTACAAACAAAGCAATATCTTTGTGCTTTGTGCTCAAGTTCCCAAGTATAATACAGTAGCAGACACAGACGAATTTTTTATTTTAACTGTTTTTCTAGCAATTAAGCTAGCAATTTATAAGAAGTTTGATGTTAGTTTTATATTTATGCTCTACTTTTATAATCTACTATATATAAAGCAGAAGAGACGTCCGTCTGTGCGCAGCTATTATTAGCAAAAAGAAGCGGGGGCTTAGATTGCGTCGAAAATGTAGACCTCCCCAGTGGGCGACGGAACTTTCGTGAGCGTTTTCCGCTGGTATACAAAAAAAATAGAACGTTAGCAGTCGAAAATTTACTTGATTAGTGTTGTTTTAACATTAAAATTGACTATAGAGGGTGGCTGAAAATTAGCATCTGGCATAGTTTTAAACAATTTATAAAGCATTACTACTCATCTTTTTGTGTTTTAATATTCTTTTTATCATTGTCTATTAATTTTTCGTTAAAAAAGTTGGTTTCTAGGTCATCACAAAGACTTGCGCTAGGGACGCAATCACACAGCTGGCGACGAGCGGCATGAAGAACTCGTCGATCGCATCAAGGCTTCGGTGGCTCTGAGGACCGTCCGGAAGATCGTAAAACAATGGAAAGAGGAGGGATCTGTTCAGTCCAAGCCCGGAAGAGAACGAAAGAGGACCGTTAACACCCGAAAGATGCGTGGGATCATCAAGAGGAAGATCGAGCGAAAAGACGATCGTAGCTTGAACAAGATGGCAAAACAGCTTCAAATTTCGCGTTTCTCGGTTCAGTCGATAGTGAAAAATGAGCTCGGACTTCAAAGTTATCGATGGTTAAACGGACAAGTGCTCAGCGATCAAGCCAAGCAAAACCGAAAGGAGAAATGCAAGAAATTGCGAGCTTTTTTCAAGGTGCGGCGCATTGACGATGTTCTTTGGTCGGATGAGAAGATTTTCACCTTGAAAGTGGCTAAAATTCACAAAATCACCGTCAACTTCTCAGTCCAGCACTCAAGAGCACTTGCAAACGAAAAGTCGCTACAAAAAGTCGGTTTCCAAAATGTTTGATGGTTTGCGGTGGAATCAGTGCTTTGGGCAAGACTCCGTTGGTTTTTATCGATTAAAAAGGGGAAGATTAACGCAAAAGTGTATGAAAAAGAGATTCTCGAGAAACCTGTGGGGCCGTGGAAGATGAGCCATCTCAATTTGACCTTTCAACTAGATTGGGCGCCAGCCCACAGAGCCAAGACAACAATTCGCTTTCTCGAAACCAAAAATAGCTCTTTTTTGACGAAGGATCAATGGCCTGCAAACAGCGCGGACCTCAATCCGTTGAACTTTTTGGTTTGGGGCTTTATGGAAGAACAATTGAAAAATCGGAAAATCAACAATTTGAATGATTTGCGTCAAGAATTGATCAAAATCTGGAACGATTTAGATGCAAATTATCTCCGCCGCATCGTCGATTCTGTAAAGAAGCGAATTAAAGCCTGTATCAAAGCGGATGGAGGCCACTTTGAAAATTTCTTGTAAATTTCTTATTAAATGTTTTTGTTACAACTATTATATAAATAAATATTTTTAAATGTTCTTTGAACGAAAATTAAATTATGGCGTTTTCTTTGGCGCACTTAATTTTCAGCCACCCTGTATTTTCGACTCCGCAGCTTTCGAAGCAAGCTTTTGTTAATTTAAACGGCTTTCGAATGAATTGCTTGCAATAGAAAAAACTATGAATGCTATTAAAAATGCTCTAAAAATATTTTAGCAACTAGTTTTTCCATTTTGTGCTAAAATTTGTCGGTAAACCTAGATATTGCGCAATTTTAATCCTTGCAATTTATGGAAATCTACAGCATTCAATCAAAAAAAAGTCTATGTCCGCTACTGTACAAAGCTTACGGTGGATATTTTCCAATCTTGACCACATGAGCAAAGGCTCCTCTTCCGATCCATGTTTCTTCCATTTTACATCGAATCACCAGAATTTAGGGGGAAAAGTCTAAACTTCTGAGTTAATTGGACATGTCGAATACACGCTTTAAAAAAGGGGAAAAGTCTAAACTTCTGAGCTAATTGGACATATCGAATACAAGCTTTCAAAAAGGGGAAAAATGTTATTTGCAAAATATCTGCAAAAAAAATGGCTGTTTTTTTTATTCGAATGTCTATAATGGACGATGAGTCAAACCCTCGTCAAAGGAGAAAACCAGGTAAACAATTGGGAAAAGAAATGGAGAATTGACAAAGAGACAACCAAAAATAGAAAAAGCAACGCGTAAATGCTAATATTTACAAGCAAGAAGTCAATATTTTAGCAATAGCATCAAAAATTGGACATAAAATTTGATTGGTAACAGTTTGAAAGTGTCACCGAAGTGGTAAAAGTAGAATGTTTATCTATTTTTCTATTTTTATCACCTTGCTTGGATACATTTTTGCTTTCTGACTAAACTTTGACCTTGTAGAAACAAACGTAAACATCAAAAACATCATTTTTCATTTTTATCTAGTCCTTTGGATAAAAAAAAGAGGCTTTTTAAGGCTAGTCTAACTTTTTCATTTAGAGAGAGACTCATGTTTTCGATTTTCGGCCTTTTCTCGTGAGTTTCTCGTGATTTTTCCCGGTTCAAAGATTTTTTAAATGCAAATATAGATGTTTTCATTGAGTAAAATTGCAAAATTTAATTGATTGGCTCATTTTTTTCTTTTTGACATTCAATTGTTTTCAGTGAAAGAGATGAAAAAGAATTTTTTTGAAGAGTCTCCGTCAAAATGAAATAAAGATGACTACATGAATTTAATCCGAAACAAGGCAAGGAGAACGAATCTAATCAACCTTTTAAAAGCTTTTCAATGATAGTACTAAACTAAAATAAAGCTGACTCATTTGAAGTTCATGGCTTCAACAAAGTAAAAGGTTTTACCATTCTATCAGAAAGTACTAGCAATAAGACGAAAGTCGTACTTTTCCAGACCAAAATTTGTTAGAAGGGAAGCTCAATTAGCTGAGGTAGCTGAGGTGGATTTTCTAAGATGAACTTTTTCATTTAGAGAGAGATCGCTTACTCATGTTTTCGATTTTCAGCCAGCCGTTTCTCGTGATTTTTCCCGGTTCAAAGATTAAGAGCTAAAATGGGATCAAATTTCTTGAAAGAGTTGTGCAATAGTGTTCAATGTTGATGAAATTGAGGCATTGCTATTCAATCATTCAGAAATCAAGACTATTTGGGAGTAATATTGATAACCTAATTCGTTGAAAGCTTCAAATTCTGGTGTAAACAAGATATTCGAACTTCGAACGAACCAACGAAGCCAAGAACAAGATTTGTTTAATACAAATATATCAATGAGATGTAAATCCATTTTGAGACATTCATCTATCTCTATTTCTTGATTATTTTTTCATTCCAGGAAAGCAGAAGAAGAGAAAACAAGCCCAAAAAGCGATACCTTGGAAATGGAGAGGAATTTGCCAAAAACACCATTCCTCAATTTTGAAATCGTTTGCAAATGTGGAAATGTTCGAGAAGATCTTACAGAAAGCATAAATGCTTCAAAAATTGTTTTTCAATGCAAAAACAGATGTTTTCATTTGGTAATATTGCAAAATACAATTGATCAGCTCATTTTTTTCTTTTTGACATTCAATTTTTGACAGTTTTGACATTTTTGATATTTTTGATATTTTTGACATTTTTTCCTTTCTAAAATTCAAATGCTTTCAGTGAAAACGACCAAAAATAAAAATTCTGAAGAGTCTCCGTCAAAATGAATAAAGCCGGCTCAATTGAAGTTCTTCTTGAAGGCTACAATGGTTTTAATCATTTCTACATGAAACATCATCAAAAAATTGTACTACACCTACTTTCCGATAATTTGGTTTTAGTGAGAATCGATCCTAATTCAAATCCCTCCTTTAAAGATGCTATTATTACTATTGGTGAGGTTTTGTATGGTATTAGTATAACAATATTTGATTTAGCTCTCTAGTAGAGATTAGAACAAGTCCCGCTAAAAACCTTGTAATTTCGGCTGTCCGTGGGGATCCACTGATTGCAAACCATAGTTAGCGAGCTGGCAGAAAGTCTTCTGAACATCTACTTCAGGAATTACTCATAAAGCCATGCATTCAAAAAAAAGATATAAATAAAGTGAATAAATCCAAACCTTTTATTAAAATTTTAATCGCTTTTGCCTCTATAAAGATTTATTTGAATATTAAAATTTAGTCAATCATCGGTAGATTTCCTTTCCATAGAATCGCCATTTTTTCTTAGTATTTTGTGAATCGGTTCCTATTTTTTTTGTGCTTGCAGTTCCCTTCTTGAAATAAAGAATTAAAAACAATAACATAAAGAGTTACAGTTATAAAGATTAAAGAAAGGGGCATATTAAACTTGACGGATAACCTGGGCACTGTAGATTACCCTGTTTTAAAGCCTCAAATATTATAGAATGCATGAGATTTATCATAAAAAGCGTACAGATCTTCGGGTTTTGTTTGTTTCATTTCTTCTTGTCGCCTTTCTTCTTCTTTTTCTTCGGCAAATCACATTTTACGGTGTCAACTATGTCAAAATAAAGTCGGTAATGCTTTCGGCTTTCAGGTCAACTTCAACTTCGTAAAGGTTCAGAGGATCGGAGGATAGAATGCACAAAAATCGTTAAGCCACGTTTTATTGCCATTGGGACAGGTGCTAAGTTATTATGAAAATTTCTCAAGCCATTATGATTTCGAAGCATACTGACTTTTGATTTGGCCTGCTGGACCAGGTCCTGGTTAACACATTGGTTGTTTATACGTATTAGGTTTTTAGGTTTTTGTTCGATCAACCGGATCAATTGAAATTCTTACATTCTTTCCAATTCTGACAGTCGAAAACGAGTGCTTCGCATATACGTTTGGAAAATTGAGCCTAGACAAAGTGGCCGAATATCTCGATGCACGAGTTTATGCCTTTCAAAGAGATACTGCAAAGCACTGAACAGTCGAAAAGCCCAATAAATCACTGTTTTCATCAAATAGATGATTTTCGAATCCACAACCACTGAAATTTTTACCATTTTTGGTTTCGTTGAACAATTACACTTTATTAAGGTCTTTTTATCCTTAATAAAGTGTAATTCTATGTAATTATTCCAATAAAGTTCCATGCATAAAGTGCATAGCTTTTACAAAAACATAGTGAAGAAAATAAACTTTTACTTCATTATTTTATTAATCGTGATGATCACTACAAAGTGTTCAGACTATCTCAAAAATCTAAGTTTGTTTGGACTTCAATTCTTCCAAGACACGACAAAAAATCTTCCTCGGCTGTCTTTCATCAATGATTTCTTCGTATTTCGCGCGATGTCGATAGTTAGTGAAGGAGCTTGTGCGGATGTTTGGAAGGACCAAAGCGATCGGGTTCAGACTGAACACGCTGAACAGCGAAAGCCCCTTGTGCATGATAAATTTCTCTCCAGTGGCACACATTGTCACAAAATGTTGGCAGTTGTTAGAGAAAAGATTGTAGGCACCCTGAATAGACGTTTTATAGGATTATACGCAAAAGAAACCGAAGTTGGGGTAGAAATTCAAATTTTGATATTCTCTTAAAAAGCCATCGTTAATTGATTTCCCCTTCTCTTGAGAGTCATCGTTAATTGATTCTTCTCTTTTCAAACATCACATTTTGCTAGAGATACCAACCTTTCCTTCGTGAACTTTTGCGTGGCTTTCGGCGATCTTCGCTATATCTTCCCCCATACGTTCCCGTACGTTGAAGCTGATCTACACTGGACAAAGTTGACCTTTAATGTTAATTCTGCAATACCATGGCCAGGGGGAAACGTTCAAGAACCTTGATTCTCGATGGCAATGTCACAAAATTGCCGACGAGTTTCGCCGTTCGGATGAAAACCTCTTTGCTTTTGTTCTTGATGCCATGACCCGAATAGTGAACCACCTAGAGTGTTTTGGGTTTTGTTGGGTCTCAAGAACTCTCACCTTGCCATGTCCTATGTTGATTCCCGAATGAAGTGTATTGTGCAAGTAGGAAGTCATCAAGATACAACCTCTGAAAATCCTCAATTAAATGCTCTAAATTATAAAAACTTGAGAATTTGCAACAAGTTTTTATTTCTCTGTTTTATTTCCATTGCTTTCTTGGTGTAATATCATACTTAAAGGTAGAGTGACAATCGAGACCGATTCCAAGTGAAAAAGTTTTTCCGCCAATAACTATCATTTTCTTTTCATTTGATGCTTTGTAAATCAAAAATGGCAGAAACAAAACGGCTGATTGATTTTCTGCCATTCGGCAAACTTTTGTTGATGAGCATCTACTGCCGCGGTAGACAGCTTTCAACGTGTCAACTGGCAAGCCACTCCCAAGCCAAGCCAGGAAATTAATTAGCCGTTTTTTTTCTGCTATTTTTGATATACAAAGCATCAAATGAAAACAAAATGATGAAACAAATGAAACAATACAAATCTTCACTTGAAATCGATCTTGATCATTACCCTCTCTTTAAGGGGGGGGAGGAGTATTAATCGCGGCCGGGTGACCCATAAAAACTTTTTTAAGGCAACCACCTGTTTTTTTATTTTAATATCGCTGATTTTATTATAAAAAGAATAAAAATCTAGAGTGATTTGATGGGTTTACAAATTTTTGGAGACACTGCAAGGCTCGCGTAGTGCATCTACAAGGTAAGTGCGAAAGTAAAGCAAAAGTCAGGCATTATGTTTTCTTTTTGTTTTCTTTAGACTTTCGGTCTTTAGGTTTTTAACGTCTCTAGATGCCTTTTTCCAGATGGAGATTTTATGTTTAGATAATGCAAAAGGCCATCAAAACACCCTAATCTATCTATTAGAGTGTGTTCCTCTCGAGTAATGCGTTTTCTAAAAGGCACCTATTTGAGAAAACTAAAACCACAATCGACCACAAATGGAAAAAAGATCTAATTGTGTCAATCAAAGCGCTGAAGACGTCCTACGGATCCAGTCACTTCTGGTGAAGATGCGCTGGAAATTGATAAGCTAGGAAGCCGATTTGAGGAACTGTTGCACTTGAGCGAAGATGAAAGTGAGCAAGAGGAAGAATTATAGATTAACAACTTATTTTTATTGTTTTTTTTGTGCTTTTTATTTTGTTTTTAAATTTATCTACAATTAAAACTCAATCGATCTAGACTGTGTCTGATGAATGACGATCTTGTTTTTCTCCAAGCCTTGCAGCGTCTCCAAAAATTTGTAAACCCATCAAATCACTCTAGCCGGGTGATTTTTATTCTTTTTATAATAAAATCAGCGATATTAAAATAAAAAAATAGGTGGTTGCCGTAAAAAAATTTTTATCGTCACCCGGCCGCGATTAATACTCCCCCTTTAAGCCGAATAGCTAGCACATGTCACCGCATTCTAGAAGGTCGTTAAACGAGAAATGCGAGAAATGGTACAAGTTTCACTCGGTCGACGCCTTTTAAGAAATTGACCTTTTGAGATACCCGTCCGGATACTTCAGGCAATTGGCTGGTAAGCTATACAACGCAAATTGTCGCTTTATTCGTAAATCATTCGGAAAAGTTGGATTCGAAAAGAAGCGCTTGATTTCGCTTGTTTTCCTATCCGCCGCCTCCTCGCTGTACGCAAAGCACTCGAATATGTGGCGGTCAGCTATAAGAAGAAACTTTCGAAGTTTCTAGTAAAAGGTTTTAACCGGTGAATGACTCCTCGGCGGAGAGAAGGGTCTCCGGTTTCCCAAGTGGACATTCGAGCTCGACAAAAATGCGAACGGTGTAGAGAATTTTCTAAATTTTCCATCTGCATACTTGCATTTATTAGGTTGGCCCGAAAATGATCCCGGTTTCTTGAGCCAAACAGTTTACTACAAAAAATGTTAATAAGTCAAGATCAATCGGTAAGCCTTCTTTACAACTTCCGCAATTCTATTCATAAAGTATTGAGTATTCTTTGAGGCAAAGTAATCACTTAGTGCTTTTTTGACTTGTTTTCTCTCTCGCCGAATAGCTAAATAGTCGAACTAACGTATACTTTATATCTGTCAAAAAAAAAACATATCAAGCAAATGGCTAGCAAACATTTAGTAACGATAACTTGGAACCCGCATTATTTTCTCACCAACCTAATACAGTGTGGTGCAAAAAAAGTTGGGTCAGCCCTCGGGAGAAGTTATTTTGCAAAGAATACAAAAATTTTTCAATAAAAGTTTAAAAGCAATTAGGGGTTTTAAGTAGCTCATTATTTCTAGTTTCCATAACACATAATCATAAGACGTAACTCTTTTTCTTTTACGGGAAAAAAATACATTATCCAAAATATGGTCTGAAACAATGGTGCAAAAAAAATGGGCCAAGATGGAGGAAGTGTTATTTCTACTTTCTTTTGTGCTTTTTCTTTAGATATATCCTATTTAGGATCGATTTTTTTTTATGATGATTGATTCTTTATTTTAGATGTCTTCGCGCAAGCATCTATCTACTCCCGATAAGGTGAAGATAGTGGATGCTATGAACAATGGAGGAAACAGCTGAGCTATCGGAATTCTCTTTGGATGCGGGAAAAGTACCGTGAATCGTCTTATAGCAAAAGCAAAAGCCGGTGGAAATCTTCACAGAGCTCCAGGAAGTGGCTGGCCACCAATCACAACGCCAAATGAAGACGGATCGATCATCAGGGACCATCGAAAAGACCCAACTCTGACATCGAGTCATGCGATCAAGAAGCTGAAGGCCGTTTCAAACAAGGATATCTTTCGTTGGAGCATCAACAGGCGCTTGATTCGAGCTAGATTGTATGCGAGGGGGCCAGCCAAGAGGCCCTTGATGGTTCCCAAGCACCGGAGGATGAGATTGGCTTCTGCTAAGAACTAGGAATTCTAGACTGCTGACGATTGGGCTCGAGTCATTTTCACCGATGAGACCAAGATCAATATGTACTACCCGGACGGCCACCATTTGATTAGACGACCGATTGGACAACGCTACAAGCTCAAATACGTCAAACCTACAGTGAAATTCGGTGAGGCAAGCATCATGCTATGGAGTAAGAGAGATATAAATCGATCATTGAGCCGATCAATCAATCGATCAATTACTGCCCTTCTCCAATGCAAACATACCGAATGGATGGGCCCTATACCAAGAAAATGCTCCATGTCATAAAAGTCGCTAGATTTTTTGAGTTAACCCTAGAGATATTGTCTAACTTCAGTTGCATGGGTGCTATCACTAAAACATCGTTAACTTAATGGATGAGGACAAAGAAAAACCGTTTTTGCCATTCAGAGATAAATTCGGGCCTCACCATTACGATTCTCGCAGTAGAAACATTTTAGTTTTGTTAGTTTTGCAGATTGTTTAGCAAGTCCAAAAATGTGCTAGCGCCAAACCTTGGTGACCAAAATGGCGTATCTTTGCCCATAGCAGCTGACACCGTACTCGACTTTGGAAACTCGGGTCAACGCTGATGTATTTTCAATGAAGCTCATCACCCGACGCTCGAGTTCCTCCTGTAAGCCACCGAAATCAAAAGAAGCTATAATGGCCCAGGTGCGAGTACCTTTTTCCACGCCTCCTCGTCCACCCAACGGATTTCTCCATCGATGTTGGTGTAGTACGGAGAAATGCTTTCATCTGCTTTACCCTTGTTTTAAGGTTAGCCAGAAAATTTGCTTACCCGCATTTTGAATGCTTAACATCTTGGAATAGTTCGAAGGAAAATATTGCTTGAGAAGAATTGTAGAGGAATGCTTTTACCTCATTCTCACGAATTTAACCCTAAGAGGGATAAATTCTTCTCTTATCAGCTAGCGGCGAGGGGGCTTTTTGAAGCTTTTCGTGAAATATTTATTTTCTCTTAACACTTATTCTTTTAGCAGAATCCGATTAAGTTTATCTTGGCTTGAGAATTGTCGCCAGTCAAAATTTTCGATTTCTCGAGTTCATTCAATTTCTTCAGAAGAAAATGAAAACATGAGCTCTTTCAAAGCCAATAACGAACAGACATCAACTATTTGCTGCTGCTTGGTCAAAAAACTATCAAAAAAATTGGTTACAGATTGGTTACAGTTACATCATTTACCATCGGCTAAACAAACAGTTCATTAGGGTTCGCGAGGGTTCATAACTCTCTCTACATCTGCCATTTTTTCGACTTGATATCATCCAAATCGGTGAACACATACAAAAGCTTGTAATTCTGAGCTTGTAACACAATTCGAGGTACATTTATCGAATTTGGGCTCGACATAGTTTGAAGATTGTGCTCGCTTGTGCTTTTTTTTCTACTAAAATCGGTGGCTATAAAAGAAAAAAGAAAATTTCGATGGACAGAGGTGATTTATTTCCGAAATGATCGTGATGAAGCTTTCGATTCTCCTGTTCGCCGCTTGCGGTGTTTCTGTGTTAGCTCTTTTAAACGATAGGATTTGATTCAATCAGTATTTCGGCTATATGTATGAGCCATTCGTTTTTGAAACATAAGAAGCGAATGATTTTTTTTGGTCATGACATGACATACGCAAAATCTTACATTAGCGATTATAGTGTAATAATAATTACAACCTGATTTTTCCTTATTATATTATTGGGTTGGTGAATTGAAAACTGCGGGCTATTGTCATATGTCACAGTTTGAGGCACTTTCTTCAAAAGAAACCCATTTTGATGTCAATGGAAAAGTTGTAGAGAATCAAAAATGAAGCTTATCCAAATTTTCAGAACGATTCAAAAACTGATTTTCAAGAAATGCGAAATTTACGAATTTTCACAAAACTTGCATTTTAAGCGAAACTACTAAGTGTATCTTTTTGGAAATTTGGCTATAAGCCTAATTTTTGATTCTCTACAACTTTTCTATTGACACCAAAATGGGTGTCCTTTGGAAGAAAGTGCTCAAACTGGGATCTCCAGTCTCCATCTCCAGTCCTCCATTTTTGAGTCTCACACTTGTCTCACAGACAAACCAAAATCCTACTACGAAAGAGGAATCCGCAAATTGCCTGTAAAATGGGCAGAAGTCATCAATAATAATGAAAATTATTTGGAATGAATTGATGGTTTTCGAATGTTTTCGAAAATGGTTTGCGATCAAAGCGCCCCTGAGCGGACCCTCTTCTCAATCACTTGTCTTAAATAGCGTTGCACTTATAAATTAACCAGAAACGTTTTCGAAATCAGTTTTTCGCGAGGAATTCAAATTTCTTACTTTTAAAATCGTATCTTTTATCTAAAATTACCAAAAATGCAGAAAATACAAGTACGGGAACTTTTGGCGCACCCTGTATATAGTAGATTATAAAAGTAGAGCATAAATATAAGACTAACTACTGGAATGATCTTGCTTCAGTCAAATTTTTGCTGAAATTGCCAGGTAAGAACGGGCAAAAAGTTCCAATTTTCCAACGAGGATTGGTGAATTTCGAGGCAATTCATGTGGAACCGGAAGATGTCGAAAAAACGGGTTATTCTTGTGTTGATGTGAATTTGATAAGCAAAAGATTGTTGGAAATGCTGGAAAATTGCTGTTCAAATGTTCAAAGCATGGTGCAAATGAAATGAAATTTGTTCTATGATTTGATTTGAGTGTTTAGAATTCTTTTCTGTACAGCTGAGAGTAATGAATGATTTAACAGAGCTGTCAAGAATTTAATAACCAAAAGATCAATATCAAAAGACCAAAAGATCATACGTGTCAATGATCCAACTTTCTGTAAATATATTTGAGGAATAAACAATGTATTGATTGATTGATGATTTGATGAAAATGATTTGATTTTTCTATAATGAAAAAACACATATTTGGCTAGTGAATGCATTAACTTGTATATTAAAATAAGAGACTGAATTCAAGCTTTTGAAATACTTTTGTTATATTATACTATCACTCGCCCCTTCTCCTGAACTTTACAATAGCACACCGGTCGGAGAGCCGTCGGAGAGCCGCTTTTTGAGCACTGTTGCAGTCGGCTGTGTTGTAATAACTGAAATCGTGAGAATTTTTGAGAAGCTTAAGATTGAGTTTGAAATCCCTATAAAATTTACCATTTTTTACAGAAGAAATCTTAATTCCGGGATGATGCAAGGAAAATACAGTGAATGAAAAGGGGCAACTAGGAAATTTCGCCTCTTTCTCTTCGTTTCCCTGGTTTTATTGATCTCTCACCACAAAAAAGTCCGATTTTCAAAACTTAGTCACCACAATTTCACCACGGAACGAAAACATTCTTTAGTTTCGTTAATGAAATAGAATAATGACTTTATTGAGTTCTATAGTTCTATTGAACAAATTTGTAAATCATATTTCTTGCCGAATTTTTCTTTTTCTTTTTCTATTCTTTTCTATTTTGACAGATTCGTTTGCAAGCTTACAATCTAGAAATTAAAACTTTAAACTTTTAGAATGTGCAAAGCTACAGAGGAATCAAATGGAAACCAAGAACAATTGGATACAAATCTCTATAGTAGGCAAATGTAAGCTTTAAATAAATCAGCTTAACTAAAGCAATATTTCAATGAACAATTTATCGAAATTTTCAGCAAATCTCATTTGTTTAATCTATTAATCTATTTTGAGTTCGCTTAAACTAAATAAATTAAAGTTTTCTCAAAATGAGCTTTCTGGATTGAATTTGAACGCTTTTAAAATATCAATTTTAAGCTGTCAAAAGTTGTATTTGTTAGCTAAAAATGTATTTTTTAAGTACAGCAATGTATAAATTATATTCCAAAAGTCCAAGTATTCAATTCTATCCTTCAGATATGCTTTGGGTGAATCGGCGATGAAAAACCTCCGCCAAAGCTCGGTGCTCATCTCGGGAATCGGCGGTGTTGGAGTTGAGATCGCTAAAGTGAGTTGAGAAAGCTAACTTAAATTTGCTTAATTTTGTAACCTAATTTCGTATTCAGAATTTAATACTTGGTGGCATTCGTCATGTGAAAATTCACGATCAAAAAGAAGCCACTTGGTACGATCTATCCGCTCAATACTTTCTCCGAGAAGAGGACATTGGAAAGAATCGGGCAACGGCTTCGTTTGCGAGGTAAACCTTGCAAAATTAGATTTTGTCTTGGAAACTAAGTTCTTGAACTTCTAGATTAGCCGAGTTGAATGACAGTGTTACTTGCACACTCAACACCGACCCTCTCACCGAGGAACTCATCAAGAATTTCGATGTAAACTTTTCAAAGTTCACAAATGAATCAATATTTGATGTTAAATCATTTTCTAATCTCTTTTCAGCTTATCATTTTGACCGATACCCCACTCGCTTTACAATTGGAGATCTCGCAATGGATACGACGACATGGAAAGAAGATGATTGTGGCTGAAGCAAGGGGATTGTTTAGGTGAGTGAAAGCTTTATGTGAACAACTGGATCTGATAAAAATTCAATACAAATTCAACAATTAGATCGGTTCATTATTCTGATTGATTATTCTGATTGATAGTTTCCTTTCAGTTATATCTTCGCCGACCTAGGCGAACGCTTTTGCGTACTTGACCCGAATGGAGAGAAAGTCAGAGAGGTAACAAAAATCACAATATGTTTACATTGAACTTGATCGAATTGTAAATCAACAGATGAACAGATAATTTGCTGGATTTTCAGTTTTACATCAATGGTGTTGACAGGATTTCTGGTGAGGTCTTCACCCAGGAACCACATGGATTGATGAATGGAGATTCGGTGGTGTTTAGGTGAATTGAAATATTCAATGTATAAATGACTAACATCTAGATCTAAACTACAGTACTGGACAATGAAATATCATATTTGAAAAAAGATCGTCACTTTCGCGCGTCTGTAACTCCATTGTCTTTACCGTATTTCTAAATATTAACATTACCATTGTGTAGCCCTTGAAAAGAGCTTTCAGAGAATGTATAACACTAATAGTTTAAACTCAAAGGCAAGGGAGTTACAGACGCGCGAAAGTGACGATCCTTTTTCAAATATGATATTTCATTGTCCAGTAGTGTAGGTATTGCATAAGTTTGAAATCTTAAGCTGTATTTAACTTTCAGTGAAATTAAAGGAATGAATCAGTTGAACGACTGCCAAGCACTTCCAATCACAGTCAAAGGTCGAACAAGAAGAACTTTTAAACATCACCAATATTTCCAGGTCCATCAGTTTTCAATATTGGTGATGTTGCTAAAGATTTCAATGATTACACGGAAGGTGGAAGAGGAAAACAAGTGAAAATGCCAATCTATCTCGATTACAAACCGCTTTCCAAAGCCATTGAAGAGCCAGAGATTATGCCTTGGGATTTCGCGAAGATGGATTATCCGAATCAGCTTCATCTACTGTTTCAAGCTCTGCACCGAATGGAAGAAAAAGTAGGTTTAGAGCTGAAAAATCTGGAAAGCTTGCTTGGACAATAGCCTTTCAAAATCCGGTTTCAAAATCCGCTCAAAAAATTGCCTACGGTCGTCGCCGGGATTCGAACCCACGACCTCCCGCTCACCAAGGGAGACCTCTACCAATGAGCTAAAGCAACTCCTGTCTCGGCAATTCAAATAACATTTTATAGTCAAAAACAATCAAAAGTTTCAAAGTACATGTTGTTTGTTTCAGCATGATCGCACACCTCGTCCCAAAAACGATGTCGATGTAGACTTGCTTCAAAATGAGTTACCTGAAAACTCTGGAGTTGACAAGGACCTATTGAAAATGTTCTCCTATGGAGCAAGGGGAAACCTAGTAAATATCTGCTCTGTCGTTGGTGGAATCGCGGCTCAAGAAGTTATGAAAACAATCACTCATCACATGACACCACTCAAACAGGTTTCTGATACTAGCAAGCTACTAGAAAAACCAGAATTCGAAACAAAGTTTGATTTGGCAATGAATTTCTCAATCTGGTAAAAGCTTTTGTATCTCAAAGCATAGCTTTTCAGTATCTTTACTTGGATCACTCTGATGCGCTGCCTGGTGATTGGTCTTCTTTTGACACAGCAAAGTTAAAAGCACAAGATTGTTCGGCTAGAGATCATCGTTATGATGGACAAGCAACCATCTTTGGATGGGAATATCAAGAGGAGCTTGCAAATAGGAAATTGTAAGTTGGATGAATTTAGATCCAACATGAAGCGTAAACACTAGACATGGGAAAATTCCAATCCGAGCCTAATTCCACCTTCGCTTTTTTGGCCGATTCTTGGCGGATTGTTCTGGAATTTTGTTTACAAATAGAAATTGGCATTCTCTACCTGTAGACAAAATTTCAGAGCAATCGGCTAAGAGACGGCTGAGAAAACGAAGGTGGAATTACGTTTGGGTTAGAATTTTCTCATGTCTAGCAACCATCAGTTTTCGTTATTAGATTACTAAACGACAATTTTCAGGACTATTCTTAAACTAACTGAATGATTGTTTAAGATTCATTGTTGGATCTGGAGCGATCGGATGTGAGTTACTCAAGAACCTTGCAATGATGGGTGTCGCTTGTGGAAAAAATGGTTGGTACTAGGCTGTCCAGAAAGTCTTTTCGTTCCTTTTCACTGAAAAATAACAAATTCATCAATTAATCTATGATTTGGTCTAAATAAAAAGTGTTTATTGCTCAATTTCTCATCTTTTTCACTCGATTTCGGTTCACTTTCAAGCAAATTCGAGAGTGAAAACGTGTGTTTTCGCAAAAATCTTTAAAAACCTCTACGAAGAAATTGGCTGAATGAATTTCTCTGAAAATTTGGCTATGTTCCTAACTTTTTAAGCTCTATTTTTTATCTATTGACGCCAAGATAGGTTTCCTTAGCTAAAGTGTCTAAATCGCATCATCGAGTTGCATTTTTGACTACCCGACTTCATGCTCTCAAAAGAAATCCAAACATAAGACGTTTTAAACCCGTTTTAATCTTATTTTACAAAAAAATAACAGGTTTTCTTAATGAAATAAACTAGTTCAATTGGTGCCTTTGTTAATTTTAAACAGAAGTACGAAAAGCAACGAAAGCCTGATAGATTAGGGCTGTTGAGAGGAAGAAGCAAGTAACCTTTTACTCAATATTTTACAACACTATTCCCATTTAAAAACAAACCTTTTACACCTAAATCTCAATCACTTCCCCCTTTACATTTTAGGGCTCATCAAGATCACGGATATGGATCAAATTGAGACGAGTAATTTGAATAGACAATTCCTTTTCCGAAAAACTGATGTTGGGGTTTGACAAATAGACAGATTCAGATTGATCGAATTTTAGCAAAAAAAGTCAGTGTGTGCTGCTCGAGCGGTTAAAGCTTTCAATCCAGCGGTAAATATTGAGGTGAGATTTTGAGAAGACCGGGCTTTCTTAGGCTTTCCATTTGCAATTTTCTAGATTTCTTAGACATCTCAGAGAATTTCTAAGACAATTTCTTAATTTTCCACTTCTTAGACATCTTAGACATCTATTTTACAAACATTTCCATTTTCTCAAAGTTTAAATAAGACTTTGCTAGTATGTTTGCTAGACTTGCTAGTAAATAAGTCTTTGCTAGTGCTAGTTGCTTGTCAAGTTTCTACTCAAGTTGACATTAAAGCAAGAAACAAAGCGTTTAGGCGATGTCCGAGCGAGTCTGCCCAGAGACTGAACCAATTTTCAACGACGAATTCTTTGGCGGACTTCATTGTGTACTAAATGCTCTCGATAATGTGGAAGCGAGAAGATATGTGGATCAACAATGTGTCTTCTATGGACTCCCGTTATTGGAATCTGGAACTCTTGGAACAAAGGGGAATGTGCAAGTGGTCTATCCTCATCTCACCGAGTCTTACTCGTAAGTGTAACAATTGAAAAATTATCAGTGAATATTGTTTATTTGTTAAAATACTACCGGGTGCGCCTTAATTGTCGCAACAAGGTATCACGCGCGTTCAAGGACAATAACTCGTTGATTTAAACTTTTTTCTGGTTTTTTTCTTTAAACTCTGGTTGTTTTTTGTGTTTTTATTATATTTAGAATATAATTGAAACTTTTTTCGTATAAAATGTGTTGTTTTTTAGAATGACTGGAAAATCCCCCATCGACAATCGATCATCGAATTGCATAAGCGAGGCGCCTCGCGAGGATTCACAAGCGAGGATTCATAAGCGTCTTAAAGTCTTAAAGTCGACAGAAGTGTCATTTTCCGCACTATTCAACGAAGCTAAAGGAACAATTGCTGATGCACCAAGAAGCGGTAGACGCCCAAGTGTTGTCACAAAGACAGACAATCTCAAGCGAGTGAGGAACCAAATCCGGAAGAAGCCAAACCAGTCGGCAAGGCAAATGGCAAAGAAGATGGTGATTTCAAGCATCTCATTGCGTCGGATCCTCAAAAATAAGCTCAAACTTACTGCTTACAAGAAATACAAGGCTAAATTTCTTTCGAATACCGCTAAAAACCGGCTTACAAATCCAAGAAAGTCCAAGAGTTCTGCAAAAGCAACTTCTCGGATTTCATTTCTTTTTCTGAGGGGCCACCTAGCTCTCCAGACCTCAACTCAATAGGTTTTTCAGTGTGGTCGGTTTTAGAAGCTAAAGCTTATTCAAAGCCTCACAAGAAAATTGAAAGCTTGAAGAAATCACTGTTGAAAGCGTGGGAAGAGCTCGATCCATTTGATCGAGCTCGAGCTATTTGATCGCCACCGTTGACGCCTTCCCGAAACGCCTGAAAACCTGCTCAAATGCTAATGGTGGCCGACTCGAATTTGATAGTTCATTTATAACTTTTAATGTATAACATTTATAACTTTTATAACATTTATAAATTTTAAGGCTAAATTTCTTTCGAATGCCGCCAAAAAACAACCGAAAATTGAGAGCAGATCAATTATTGATGCGCTTCAATGGAATCAACCATCACAATATCTTGTTCACAGATGAAAAGATATTTTCCAGTGTGGTCCGTTCTAGAAGCGAAAGCTTGTTCAAAGCCCCACAAAAACATCGAAAGCTTGAAGAAATCACTGTTGAAAGCGTGGGAAGAGCTCTATCCAGCCTATTTGATCGCCACCGTTGACGTCTTCCCGAAATGCCCGCAAACCTCTCAAATACTAATGGTAGCCGATTCGAATTTGATAGCTGTTAATTTACAATAAATGTTATTCAGTTAAAAACTTTTCTTTTTTGCTCATGTCTGCCTTAATATCAGAACTTTAACTTGTTGTGACAATTATGGTGCACCCTGTACTATTTCAAAGCATCAATTTAGGATTGTAGGAAATTTGATACGCGCCCTGCCCTTTTTGCCATTGGCAATCTAACTTTGAGCTCAAATATCTTGTTGGGCTGTTCAATTTAAACAGTTTTTATATCGATCGACAGAGAAAGACTTGGCGCATCCAATGATTTCAAGAATATTTAAATTGAACAGCCCAACACCAAGATATTTGAGCTCAAAGTTAGTCAATGGCAGAAGGGTATCAAGTGTCCGATAACCCCAATTTAGTGCAAGTCCAGACCCACCCGAGCAAACGATTCCCTATTGTACGCTGAAGAACTTCCCGACGGAAATTCATCACACCATTCAATGGGCAAGAGATAAATTCGAAGGTATTACTGAGCAATTGATTGTTAACAATGTAACTTCTGAATTTAGCTTTGTACACTCAAGCGGCTGAACTTGCGAATCGATATTTGAACGATCAAGACGCTTTCTTCAGATATCTTGAGTCGAGTGAGCCGAGGATTAGTGATGGGCAAAAGGTTTTAAGAAAAAGATTTGGCATTTTTTTGATTCAGACCTTTTTAGGCCGAAATGCTGACTGCTGTGCTGAAAGCTTTGGACTCTGAGCGTCCTTCGGCCCCGGAGGATTGTGTCACTTGGGCTAGGAAACTTTTTGAGGTAAACGGATTCGGGTACAGCAAAGCTAGCAAGCTGTAAACTTATTACTCTACAGAGTGTTCTAAAAAAGTAACTTCAGCGCGATTTTTCTCAGAATTTCTAGTGGCTTCCGGTGGTTGTTGTGGTGCCAAATAGACTTGCTTGATATTATTGATACAGACGGCAACCTCATGTTTGACCGTTCAGGTCTCGGCTTCTAGAAACAGCTATCAATCTGCAAATTGTTTCATTGGAAAGTCAAGAATGTCAGCTTTTGATCGTCATTTTATGCATTTTAATGTGTAAACATTTCATAAACCTTATCGAAAGTATCGATTATCGATAAGCTTATCGATATTTGAGTATCGATAAGTATTGATAAGCTTTGTAAGGCACTCACCTATGCGAATTTGCTATGTATAAAATAGCGATCAAAAGCTGACATTCTTGACTTTCCAATGAAACAATCTGCAGATTGACAGCAGTTCTAGAAGCTGAGATCTGAACGGTCAAACATGAACTTGCCGTCTGTATCAATAATATCAAGCAAGTCTATTTGGCACCACAACAATCACCAGAAGCCACTAGAAATTCTGAGACAAATCACGCTGAAGTGTCTTTTTTGGAACACCCTGGATTAATAATCAAATCTAAAACTCAAAGTTTTCATTATTTAGGAGTACTTCCACGACACAATTGCTCAAATGCTTCACTTATTCCCGCCTGAGCATCTCACAAAAAATGGGCAACGTTTCTGGGGTGGGGCCAAGCGATGTCCGCATGCTCTTCGCTTTGATGCGAATAAGGTAAGCAAGCTGGTGATAATTTTGTGAACTTACGGAGAACTAGTGAACTTTGAACACGTTTATAGAGAACTAGTGAACTTTGAACACGTTTATAGAGAACTAGTGAACTTTGAACACGTTTATAGAGAACTAGTGAACTGTGAACACGTTTATAGAGAACTAGTGAACTGTGAACACGTTTACAAATTTGAACTCAAGTAGGGCGGGAGTCAAAGGTTGTGAAGAGCCGGATATTTCCTTATCTTTCTTCCTTTTTCTTCCCCCTTCTATTTCATCTTTCTTTTTCAAGGAGATAACGGATAGCTCAGTGGTTAGAGCATCTGCCTGGAAAGCAAAAAGGAGCCAAAAGGTCAAGGGTTCAACCCCCTCTCCGGAAATCTTTCTTTGCCATTCCTTACTTTATTTTATTATACTCTACATCACAACTGTACAATCATTTTAAGAAATATCGCTACCTTTTAGGATGTTCATCTCGATTTTATCTTCGCAGCGTCATTCATTCGTTCACAAGAATACAATATGAAACCAATTACGGACCGGTCAGCACAAAATTTGCATTTAAAGCTGATATTTCAGAGAACGAGTTGCTCAAATTGCTAATTCGGTACAATTTACGGAGTTTGTTCCAAAAAGCGGTGTGAAAATCGCAACGAATGATGAAGAGGCGCGAGAATTTGAAAGACCTGGAGCACAAGGTTGGATAAAGATTTGAAATCGATTTTAATAGACAATGTCTTTTGAACTCAAAACGTAGAACACAAGAATTGAAAGCTGATATTTCATTTTTAGATCTCCTTCAAGACACCGAGGCACTTATTGAAAGACTAAAGAAGCTAAAACCTGACCTCCCAGCCTTAAACCATATCGATTTTGAGAAAGATGATGATAGAAATCAACATATTATGTTCATCACTTCTTGCAGCAATCTGAGAGCTGAGAATTATGATATTGAATCGGCTGATTTCTTCAAAACGAAGGGAATCGCTGGAAGGATCATACCGGCAATCGCCACGACAACTGCAGCCGTTTCTGGACTTGTTTGTGTCGAGTTCTTGAAGGTAAGTAAAAGTAAACAAGGATATTTCAATTTATTATAATGCTAGACAATTGATGCCAACGGATGTCTTGCAAAGACGCCAATTGAACGATTAAAAAATGGTTTTATAAATCTTTCACTCCCGCTTACTTGCTTCTCGCAGCCAACTGGAGCTCCGAGGAAGAAGGTCATTCAAAAGTTGAATTGTTTATAACATAAAGAAACAAAGAGGAATCAAAAGTATAACATTAGCAATACTATTTTAGTACAATGACAAACCGTGGACGGTTTGGGATTCGTTAGAAGTTCGAGCACCGATGACCACTCAGCAGCTAATTCAATGGGTTGAGGTGAGACAAGATTTTAAATTCCTGTTTTGTCAATAATTTTAAGCTATCAACCAATGTGATCCTATTAAAACTCCTAGAATTCTTTCAAACATTTTCTATTTTCAGAACGAAGTCGGCCAGGGCTCGGTTGTCTCGATCGGCTATGGAGTGGCCAGCATTTACACGAGTTTCATGACTCCAGCTAAAAAGACAGCTCGCTTACCTATGGAGTGAGTTTAGAATTTAAAAATCAAACAATTCTCTAAAACTTAAAAGCTATAAATCACAAAACAGTAAAACTTTAGCCTTCGCAAAGCAATCGAGGAAGTGACACAAAAAGCAATTCCCAGCCATAAGAAAAGTCTCATCATTGATGTAAGTGGATTTATTTGAAAAATAATGAACTTTCTCCAGTCAAATCTTTTATTGATAAACTTTGGGAAAGCAGATATAAACTAGACATGGGGAAATGTCAACCCGAACCTAATTCCACCTTCGTTTTCTTGGCCGATTCTTGGTCGATTGCTTTGAAATCTTGTCTACAGATAGAAATCGACATTTTCGACATACAAACCATTCCAGGTACTGATCGAGAAAGAAAACGACGACAACGACATGCTTGTTGACGAAGATGGCTACATAGACATTCCATATGTAAAATATATACTGTAAAAATGTGTATAGTATCTATTTGATCTCCTTTGTGATTGATGTGATTGATAAATTTTGATCCGTTTAAGCCAAAGCTAGATTCTCTAGCAAGCATTTGTTACAGAAAGCCGCCCATTGAGGGTAAAGGACGCGACAAACTAGCGGGTAACATCTGTCCCATGGTCAAGTGGGAGAGGGTGTGCATCGACCATCGGCAGTTCACATGGAAGACTCGGGTTCAATCCCGCCTAAAGGAATTGTTTTTGCGAATTGCGGCTGGTTGTCAACAAAGGCTCAACAAAGGGAAAAGGGGGAGGAAGTGAAGAGGCGAAAGATTGAAAAGGAGAGGAGGAACGGAGAGCGAAGGAAAAAAAGTAGGGTATGTATTAGACTTGTGTTTCGGTTGGCTCTTTTCGGTTCAACCGAAACACAAGTCTAATGTATACCCCTTGACAGACTCAATATTTTGGTGATGCTTTCCACTCATACCAATATCAATACATTGAATCAACAATTCCTGTTGTAAGATCGAAAATCCATACTTTTTGTCTCATTTTTCGATAGAGCAATCAATTTTCCACTCACGCTTATCAATGGCAAAGCAAAAACCACGGAAATGTGCACATTTTTTCACGTAGCCCGTTTTCTACCTTTGAAATTGTTATGGAAAAGTTTAATCTTACAAATTTCCTTATCAAATGTATGGAAATCGAGTCAACGACAGGGGATGAAGGCAAGTTCAAATAGCTTCTTTGGCATGGTTTTGAACTTGTGTAAAAAGAAAAATATTTAGGAAAGTTTGCCGATTTCTTGGCTAAATTCATGAGAGATTCTGGGTGGAATGTAGTGGAGCAATTAGTGGAAAATGAGAGAAAGAATTTGATCATTTCACTTGGAGCAATGAAAGGTCAACGATTTAAATGAAAATCCAATAGATTTGACAACTTTTAGATATCGACGTTGTATTTTGTTCACATTTGGATACCGTCTCACCCTACATTCCCCCAAAATTCGATGGTCAGATTTTCTGGGGTCGTGGCAGTAATGATGCGAAAGGTTTTTTTACATCTTTTAGTCGAATCGATTTGAGCTTAAAGGGCAAATATCTGCTATGATATCAATGGCTTTGGATCTCCAGAAAAATCACGAAGAGCTGGCAAAGAAAGTCGATTATCTTAAAAAGAAACGACATCTAAAGTGTTTAATCTTTTCAGCTTGGCCTTCTATTCACTGTAGGAGAGGAGTGTGGGAATTGTGGAATGAAAAAAGTTAACGAACTCGATGATTTGAATCCAAAATTTATGATCATTGGAGAACCGAGTGAGAACAGTCTTGGGACGATACAAAAAGGGGGACTAAAGGTAGAAATCGCAACACTGAAGACTCTAAACATTTTAGGTTCTACTGAATGTGACTGGAAAAGCTGGGCATTCAAGTTATCCGGGCACTGGTGAGTTTATTTTGTGATCAAAACAAAGTAATCGGCTTGACGAAGTTATCAATAGGTGAAAGCGCTGTTCACAAAATGGTGGAGATTCTCGCCGATATCATGAAGCATCCATGGCCAAAAAATGAACACGGTGATACACTTACCTAGATTTCCGGACCATAATGTGGTTATTTCTGAATGTCTTATAGGTGAAACCACTTTCAATATCGGCTATGTTAATGGTGGTGAGCAAAATTTTCCTGCTACTTGGCCACCAAAAGCTGAAACGATCATTTTCTTTAGAACCGTCACAGACAGTAAGTGCAATCATAAAAATCTTCTTTTCAGTTTAAGCTTTCACTCAGCCTTTCCTTTAACACATTCACGACAATACTAATGACAATTATTGAAGGATTTTGTTATTTGTTTCGCAGAAAGTTCTCGGTATCTTAGTACTAATTTTCAAGAGGATTCAGAACTATCGAGTGATTATAATAGTTTAGTTTATCTTTGAATTTTCACCAAATTATCAGTCAAACAGTTAACGACTACGCGACTGTACAGCCCAAAATTCCGTCAATACAAATGTGTTAAAAACGTAATTTCAGCTGATGAAATCTACAAGCAACTGGAAATCCTTATCAATAGACGTGCCGAGATTGTTTTACTGTCTGAGATTGATCCTGAAAAACTTCATCCAAAACCTCATGAGTTAGCCGATGTAAAAATCAAGCTCTTCCATTCCTTATCAGTAAACTTTTGCAGATTCCTACGGCATCCATCCCTTTCACTACAGACCTGTGCCATTTTTGGAGGCGTGACATTTCGAAAGGTGTTGGCCGTCAGAATAAGGAATTTGTCGGAGGTGAATTCTGTCTATCGGCCCAAAAACACCTAAAAATCATGAACCTCCAGATTTAACCTTCCATTTAGGCGCATTTGTTTATGGAGCTGGATCAGCACTGACAGCACACGCTGACGATGAGCACGTTTCAGTGAGTTTACAAAAGTCCATAATTCATGGTTGTCGAATAACAACAAACAATAAGTTTCAATTTAGTTGGCAGAACTGGAAAAAGCTGTCGCTGTCTACAAAAGATTGGCCTTGTACACGTGCAAAGCGAGTAGCTGCTAAAATTCCTCTAAAAAACGTGAAACCTGAATACTCAAAATAGTATTTTGTCTACGATGCTTTGTGATACATAACTCTTCCATTCAAATGATTTTCTTAAAAGTAACTAGGTACTTTGAACAAATTTTATTCAACACCGGAATCATTTAGCGAAAGAATAAAAATAGAATATAGATAGATACCACACGTTACAGAACATAAATTTACCACGGCATCATTGATTGAAAATTCACAGCCATTAAATGATCATTTCTTGAATTTCTTGTTACCATATCGTTGCTTGGTTCTTCTCGTGTCCGGCTTGTAAGTGCGTCCTTTGGCAAGTTCTTCTTCGTCGGGATCGGTTTCTTCCTGAAAAATAGAATTGTTATGAGCTGAGAAAATTTTAACATTTAAAACTCAACAATTTGAGTAAAACAACTCTATCGCAATCACTATAATGGTATTTGCATCAAATTTACTAATTAAATTTCGTAAAGTTTTAAAAACAACGTAGCCACTATTTTTATAGTAATATTTTTAATGAACTAATGCTTCAAAACCTGAAGAACGGCCATAGGTTTATTTTTGGTAATGATCCTCTGTCAAATTACTATTAAAAAAGTTAACGAATACCTCCGATTCTTCTGACTCCTCTTTTTCCTCGGACTCTTCAGATTCCTCCTCTTTGCCATCGGATTCTTCTCCTTCGTCTTCGCTGCTTGAGCCAGAAGACGGCAAATCCGCGTAGTCCTTTTTCGCATCTTCAGGAATATCTCCACCCACGTCGGTGAACTCAACCTCGCCCTCATCTTGCTCATCACCTTCATTCAGTTTTGCATTATCGGGCAGTTCACCGCACGATTTGAGTTGTCGAGCTTCATCGGGGTTATACTTCAGAATAACATCGGCTTTGTCATCTTGATAATCGCGAAGACCGAGTAGAATGATGTCTCCTGTGTTTATCCAAACTTTCTTCCTCAGCTTTCCACGGATATGACAAAGACGTTGTTTTCCATCAAAACAAAAAGCCAAGAGTCGCCCATTGCCCAGAATCTTCATTACTTGCGCGTATTCTTGGCCGGGGTCCTTTCGTTGCAATTCACGTTTCATCACATCATTCTCATTCTTTCCACGACGGCGATTTTTGCCTCCCTTTCCCTTGTTCTTCGGCATTCCTGGAAAATATAAAATTAGCTTTGGAAATAAACAAAAAGAAGACAAAGTTGAGCAAGAAAGTGGATGCATGTAATGGTCAAGGATGGATCAAGTCTAAAGCAGCCTAGCCTATTAACGCGGCTTAATTTACTACCGTTTTTCTACTCTCATCGAGAGCTACAAAATGGCATCAAAATCCTTGTAATAGGTCAAATGAAAAATCCACTTCCTTATTTGTGGACTTATTCCAATAATTTTGATACCATTTTGTAGCTGCATGAGAGCAGAAAAACAGTAGCAAAACCATCTAAATCGGTTACGAACGAATCGAGTTGTAGCGTGTGCTGAAATGCCCTTTTGCCGAAACTGGGCCCTCCTGAATTTTCTACCGCTACAAATGTCATATATAGGCACGATGCAATGATATTAAAATGTTGCAATGATGAGACTAAATATCCAATCTTTTAATTTTTTTATAAACAGGTGTTTTACTTGGCAAAAGTCGTTTTTTCTCAAAAAGTAAAAAAAAGAAAAATGATGAAATTCCCAGACGTGCTGCGTTTCCCCTTTCGGCCAACAATTGTGTAGACTCTAAACTACAAAATGCCTCTTGGAGGTCTCGCTTACTCTTATCTGCCGATCACTATCAACAAGCGATCTCTTTAGCTTGGTAACCTATATTTTCTGCTCTTGTTTTCTCTAAAGCTATACAATTGTTTATTTTTCTTTTTAAGATGTTGTCGAGAAGTGCCCTGCAGTCAAACCGACTTCTCTCCACGTCGAAAGTTCTCCAGAAGCAAGTCCAAAATGTGACGATCATTGGCGCCGGATTGATGGGTTCCGGCATAGCACAGGTTGAATCCATTTTAATGATGTTAATTGTAAGGATTTTTCCAAAAACTGACTGGTTTGTCTTATTAGACAACTGTGATTATGATCATCACTTATCCAGTTTATTTATTCTGTTCATTTATAGGTTTCCGCCCAATCAAAGTTGAACGTTGTGTTAGTGGATCAAAATGACGCGGCCCTCCAGAAAGCCACAAAAGGAATTCATTCATCACTCGCTCGCGTCGCCAAGAAGAAGTTTGCTGAGGATGCAGCCGCTCAGGTATCTCGTTTCAAATTCTCCATCCTTATGGAGTTTGGTGCTAGTATTTTTAAAGTCTTTTTGGTTTAAGGTTGATTTAAGGTTGAAATGACCAAGAACTGTAAGAAAATTAATAAATTTTCTGAGGTTATATTCTGAGTCGCTTTAGAATAAATTCGTCGAGGGCACAACGAAATACATCAAAACGACCACCAACATTAACGAAGGCGTAAAAGACGCAGATCTTGGTTAGTCCATTTTTAATATTTTAACATATGGTAATAGATTTAATTAAATAATTCTTAATTTTAATAAAATTTTTAATAGCCCGAACTAAAGGCGAGTTTTAGTAATCGAAGCCATCGTCGAAAACATCGATGTTAAAAGGAAACTCTTCGCTGAACTGGAGAAAAATGTTAAAAGGTTAGTTTTAACTCAATCTTCGAGGTTCAAAAATTCTTGTAACATTTAAAACCAACTTTCTACTCTAACGAACTTATTTAGTGATGCGATTTTGACGACGAACACCTCTTCGCTTAAGCTTTCGGATATCGGATTGAATCTGAAGAACAAGCAAAATTTCGGTGGACTTCATTTCTTTAACCCTGTGCCGATGATGAAGCTGCTTGAGGTATATTTTCTATTCATCACCTTGAACTTTTTATTTAGGTCGTTCGACATGCTGAGACATCGGATGACACTTTTAAGACATTAAACGACTATGGAAAAGCCATTGGAAAGACGACTGTCGCTTGCAAGGTATATTTAGGTGGATTGCTATTTAATATTAATGATTATAATTTTAGGATACTCCCGGATTTATCGTCAATCGTCTTTTAGTGCCATACATGTTCGAAGCTCTCAGAATGGTAAGTGTTCGACAAAATGCCCATTCAACAAGAATAATTTAGAAACAAACTTCGTAATTAATGTGATTTAGGTTGAACGTGGCGACGCTACGATGGAAGATGTTGACATTGCGATGAAACTCGGCGCCGGCTATCCAATGGGACCATTTGAGTTGACTGATTACGTTGGGTTGGACACATCAAAATTCATTATGGATGGTTAGTTTTATTTTTAAAAATTTTACATAGGAAACGCCCAATATTTGAAACTGCCAGCTAGCTGTTCTAACATTTTGCGTATAAAGGTATCTATTTTGTTCTTTTAGGTTGGCACAAAGCTTACCCCAACGAGCCTCTCTTTAAACCAAGCGACCTTCTCTCGAAGAAAGTGGCTGAAGGAAAATTGGGGCGAAAATCGGGCGAAGGTTTTTATAAATATACCAAGTAAATGATCACTCTTTTGAATTGATGATTCTATGTATGCTACTGGGTAACTTTCTGTTTAAGCTCAATTCTTTTGTATTCATTTACGTGTCTTGTAAGTAGTTTTGTACGGTCATGTATTTTAGGAAATGATTCCAGGTGAATAAATTATGTTATACTAACCAAAAATATATGTGACGTCCGAATCCGAGCACATCAAATACCTGCTCTGATTCGGGCACAATTAATTTAAATGCAAATAAACAACTCATGCGTGTATTCTGTTTAAAGTTTAGTATGATGCTTTTAAACGGCTGTTTTAACTGATCTTTGTCAAAACAAAAATGACAAGCTTCTAGTATTTTCGCCTCTTTTCCCAAGTGAAATTTTCAAGTGTCCTATGTTCAAATTTTCTCCCGAGATGGCCAATAAGTGGGAGATAATTCGGAAAAAATGAGAATATTAAGCGCTTTACATATTTTGAAACATTCAAACTTTGGGTTTCTCAAAAAAATGTATTCTTTGAGAATCTTTCGCTTTTTGTCTATCCGGCACTCAGGTGAGCGAGCAGTGAAAGTATGAGGTAAATCTAGTAGTTTCTATTGGAGTTTTTAAGTTGAAAATGAAACACTTTTTCAATCAAACCTCTCAAAATGTAAACAACTCAGAATTCATGGCTGATAAGTGATATGAATAGAGGGGCTGTATCAGTTTACACAATGACTCGTTTGCTGTTAACGATTTTGTTAACACTTTTTCCTGTTTTCATTCCATCGATCAAAATTTGCAATCAAAATTCGATCGGTCTTCGTCATGTGATGCTTTACGAGTTTATCCAAAAACATAGTATCAACCTGGCGCATGCTAATATACGTGTTGTGGATGCGGATGATGCAATAAGTCATGCGACTATCCAGCGTTGGTTCGAAAAGTTTTGCAGCGGCCATGATTCCCTTGAAGATGAAGAGGATCCTGGAGCTTCACGATCCTCTCCATGGAGCTGCACCCAAGCTGAATAATACCACTTTGTTGGATGCCTTAAATGAAGATCCTCGAAAGTCTTTACGTAAACTGGCAAAGGAGCTTGGGGTGTCTCATGTGGCGGTAACCAATCATCTCCATGCTCTTGGCTTTACTTCAAAACTAGGGACTGGGGTTTCCCATACTGACGTCCAGAGGTTGAACCGGATTTCTATCAGTGCAACTCATCTCTCCAGATATGAGCTATATTCTTTTTTGCCACGTGTTGTGACAGGAGATGAAAAATGGGTACTGTGAAATTTTGAAGGAAACGTCAATAGCACCTATTGACGTCAACGGAGCAACGCCCGAACCGAACCCTAAGCCCGCATTGCGCCAGAAGAAGTTTATGCTCTCGGTTTTCTGGGATATGGAAGGAGTGATCTATTGGGAGTTGCAGAATAGGAAGACAACACTTAACTCTACTAAATACAATACCGAGCAAAAGTCTTACAACATCACTTTTTCAAAAAAATCGATTAAATTTTTTCATAGAAAATTCCACCCGTTCGTAGGGCTTTTTTCGTTTTTAATTAGAATAATACATGTACGCTTTATTTACAAAAATAAATTTAAAGTTCAGCGTCAAACAAAAGTAAATGACAAAACTACTAAAAAATACCCTAAAAACTGGGTGCAAAAGTCTTTTTCTCATTTTTATTTTTTTCAAATTTATTAATTTACACTAATTTTTGTTTTTTTAGATGCCAGGTATCTACTTGACGACTCCCGAAAAAGAAAAAAAGGAATTTCTCGAGCCGTTGTCTCCGATCTCTTCAAATGCGATCCGTCGACCGCTTCTCGCATTATTTCAAAAACAAAAACAACTGGACTTATGCACCGAAGAGAAAAGAAAGGACGGCCAAGAAGAACAACATCAAAAGAGGATCGAATACTCGTGATGGCTTCCAAGAAGGATCCAAACATGACATCAACTGGCTCGGCCGATCAAGGAGGTGGCGAACAAGGATATCTCTCGATGGACCGTTCCTCGGCAATTGACTCAAGCAGGACTGTATAGCTGTACGAAAGCCTTTGATGACCACCGGCCACAGGAAACAACGGCTTCTATTCGCCAGGACGTACCAAAGTTGGACAAACTAGGATTGGGCCAACGTGATTTTTGTCGATGAAACAAAAGTGGATATCTTTTCTCCAAAAGGCAGCCACTTGATCAGACGACCCATTGGAAAGTAAATACTCCATAAATATGTGCGACCTACAATGCGAGCTAACGGAGGATCAATAATGTTTTTTGGTAAGCCTCATTTCATACATTAATATGTACTTTTCTAGGGGCGGTGGAATTTTCTATAATTCTCGTTTTTGAAAAAGGATGTTGTGTTCCCGCGGTCAACATCCCCTGCATGCAACGCGCCCTCATCTTTTTCAATGCTCGGGGCTGGAGATCCTTGGTTGGGGTTCTGCCCCCCCCTTGCCTCAGATTATTATTTATTCCGGTCGCTAAACAACGCCCTCGTTGAACAGCACTTTGATTCCGAAGATGAAGTCAAAAAGTGGTTGACGGGCTTTTTTGCCCAGAAGTCTAAGGCTTTTTACGAGAAGGGGATTCGGGAACTGCCAGAAAAATGGGAAAAGATTAAGAAAAATAATGGACAATATTTGGATTAACTTAAATTTCTGTTATTGAATAAAATTTGTTTTAAAAGTGTATCATTTCAACTTAAAAATCCAATAAAAGAAATATTTCTGAGACATAATCATAAATCGTAGCTTGAAAAGAGTGTACTTTTCTCAAAGAATTGATTTCTCCTTTTCAAATCTTGACTATTTCTTTCTTTTCTAAAGGCTCCGTGAAAAAATACCGTATCACGGTGTCATTTTTTGATGGAAACAACAAAATACTGTCAGACCCTCAAACGGGTGAAGCCGGAGTACGGCAATAGGTCATGAGTTGTTTTAACTTGCATTTGAAATGTTGCCAATTTGCATTTAAGTTAATTGCGCTCCGATACGGAGCAGATAATTGATGTGTTCGGATTCGGACGTGCAGGACGACCGATTTAGAGCACAATTAATGTGCTCGGTTTCGGATGTAGCATATAAATTGAAAAGCCAGCAAACAGGCAAAGTTTGAATTTATTAAGGATGAAATTATAGTACAGCTTCGTACGACAAAATCTTAAAACTTATTCGACGAGCATCAAACCTCAAATCGAAAAGTTTTGTCAATGAAACGTCAGTTGCCCCCACGCATTTTAATTAAACGGCTATAAACTTTGTGAAAACAGGAGTTTTCGGTAGAAGTCGATTGATCGAATGGCTTTTAAATGTCGGAAAATGTGCCTCTTATCAGCAAGCGATCCTCAGCTATCGCTACAAGATTTTTCAATCTACTGAAACTCAAAGTAAACCATGAAAGGTAATTTCTTCAATCAAATCTTGGGAATTGTGGTCTTTTCCGCTTCTAACAATAAGTCTACTGACATTTCCAAATTAAATATCGACACTATCCCAAAACAAGGTGCCAATAAAAAAAATAAGTGCTCAGTAAAATGAGAAGGTTAATGAAACAAAGCAAAACCAAGCTCTTTAATCCAATTTAGTTGACAGATCTTAAAAAAAGCCGTCGCTGTCTACAAAGGATTGGCCTTGTACACGTGCAAAGCGAGTAGCTGCTAAAATTCCTCTAAAAAACCTGAAACCTGAATATTCAAAATAGTATTTTGTCTACGATGCTATTGATAGATACATAACTCCTCCATTCGAATGATTTTCTTAAAAGTCACTAGCTACTTTGAACAAATTTTATTTAACACCGGAATCATTTAGCGAAAGAATAAAAATAGAATATAGATAGATACCACACGTTACAGAACATAAATTTACCACGGCATCATTGATTGAAAATTCACAGCCATTAAATGTTCATTTCTTGAATTTCTTGTTGCCATATCGTTGCTTGGTTCTTCTCGTGTCCGGCTTGTAAGTACGTCCTTTGGCAAGTTCTTCCTCGTCGGGATCGGTTTCTTCCTGAAAAACAGAATTGTTATGATCTGAGAAAATTTTAACATTTAAAACTCAACAATTTGAGTAAAACAACTCTATCGCAATCACTCTAATGGTATTTGCTACATGTGGTCTTAGGCCACCAATTTCATCAAATTTACTAATTAAATTTCGATAAAGTTTTAAAAACAACGTAGCCACTATTTTTATAGTAATATTTTTAATGAACTAATGCTTCAAAACCTGAAGAACGGCCATAGGTTTATTTTTGGTAATGATCCTCTGTCAAATTACTATTAAAAAAGTTAACGAATACCTCCGATTCTTCTGACTCCTCTTTTTCCTCGGACTCTTCAGATTCCTCCTCTTTGCCATCGGATTCTTCTCCTTCGTCTTCGCTGCTTGAGCCAGAAGACGGCAAATCCGCGTAGTCCTTTTTCGCATCTTCAGGAATATCTCCACCCACGTCGGTGAACTCAACCTCGCCCTCATCTTGCTCATCACCTTCATTCAGTTTTGCATTATCGGGCAGTTCACCGCACGATTTGAGTTGTCGAGCTTCATCGGGATTATACTTCAGAATAACATCGGCTTTGTCATCTTGATAATCGCGAAGGCCGAGTAGAATGATGTCTCCTGTGTTTATCCAAACTTTCTTCCTCAGCTTTCCACGGATATGACAAAGACGTTGTTTTCCATCAAAACAAAAAGCCAAGAGTCGCCCATTGCCCAGAATCTTCATTACTTGCGCGTATTCTTGGCCGGGGTCCTTTCGTTGCAATTCACGTTTCATCACATCATTCTCATTCTTTCCACGACGGCGATTTTTGCCTCCCTTTCCCTTGTTCTTCGGCATTCCTGGAAAATATAAAATTAGCTTTTGCAATAATCTTGAGTTGAGCAAAAAAGTAAAAAAGCAAAAAAGATAGTTGTTATGCAACTTTACAAAATGAATTTTCTATCGCTACAAATGTCATATATAGGCATGATGCAATGAAATTAAAACGTTACAATGAAGGCACTGAATATCCA